ATAAGAACTACAATACTGAAAGCAAGAAAAAGAAGAAGCATAGTAACAATAGTAAGTAAGAGTAGTAATAATAGTCAAAACAATAATAGTACTAATACTAATAATCATATTCGTGGCTACCTCTCTGCCGAGGCAAAACACCTCGATAGTTTTAGCCGAGTCCGACCCCGTAGATAGCTCAGAGCTGCGGGCTCGTTCCGGGCAGAAGCACCATTCTTGCTCAATGAAGCCAGAAGTTAATGGTTCGGGTTTGACCTACCCTGGACCTTCCAATAACACAATTAACTCCGGTGTTAATGGGATTTGTCCACTAAACGGCTAAATCACGATTTGATTTAATTGTCTCGCGACATACTAGGTGCAAATTCGCTACCTGGAGGACTGCGGGTACTTCGTTTCACATGCATAGGGGTCTGAAAGTTCGGAGGTCTGATACGAAGCAGGCACAGACAGCGACGAATCCACTCATTGGTTCGAAAGAACGAATTGCTCAATCTGGGCGCATGGCGCCCAATGCCGTGTGCAGCCCGCGAACCTGTTTCGGGTTGGAAGTCCAGGAATGAAGATTTGCAAAACGCCACCCCGACCCACTGGGCATTGGGAGACCACACGAACGATCCAGAGAGGCCGCATAACGTTTTGGTGGGCAAAACTCCGAATGAGGAAAAGTCGGCTTGCACAGTGAACTGAGGTACTGTTGCACGCAGGGCGTGCCAGGCCTCCAAACGGAGGTCTCGGATCTCGTGCATCAGGTCCGCCAGAACCTCCCAGCAGGCTGGACAGTATGTTCCATCTAAAGGTGACCCCTCCCAAGTCGACAAGAACCTAACGAAGCAGACACAGATGCGAGGGAAACCGGCAACCCAGGACTGCGACAAATCATGCCTGGAATCGAGGATTAGACCTCTGCGACCTATCCAGTCATCAAAAGAGCAAACCTCGCCACACCTCCATTTTAAGACATCCAGCCCAGTCACATGGAAGTCCTCGTACTGGACCACCTGCCTGCAGGCGCCGCGTTGATCTTCTAACTGTGCTTTGGGGTTTTGGGTTTTCTTAACCCTCAACCCTGAACCCTGGGTCTCAGGCTCTAGGGTTCAAGGTTCCGCAGCAAGCTCGGGACCGAGAAGCGCTCGCAGATGTTCCAGAAAGCTTTTTATGCTGCTCTGCTGCCAGCGACGGTGAAGAAGCTACCAGTAGAAGCCTTCTGGCAAGCTAAATGTAGCCCTGTTGAAACCTTATGTTTCGCTTTAGAATAACTAGAACCCTAGCTCCTGTTCTTCAAGTGCTCCTGTACAGCACTACTGTCACCACCACCGCCCGCATTGCCCCAGGTAACGACCGATCCATCGCCAAGGATGGCAGCAAAAGCGACTTTAGTGGCTACGATCTGCTGTACAGTCTTCAGCTGACCCTGCACAGCACGACTGTCACCACCATCACGACCATCACCCCAAGTCACGACGGAACCATCACCCAGAATGGTAGCGAAAGCGATGCCGCGGCAGGGCGCATCCCAGCCACCTCACATAAAGATTGCGGCTTCGGATTTACCTCTTGCGTATGCCCAATGTAGCAACGGATTGGGTTGACTTTGCACTTGGCGACTGCCTGAGCCAACAAAAACTGTTTTTCAAGCGGACCTGTGAATGTGTCACTCATGCATGCCTGCGAGCTGGACGCATCTGCCGGCCCTGCGGGCGATGGCGGCACCTCGCATCAACCATCAACCGTGGCTTGGGCTCGCTTGCAACACATGGCTCTCAGGGAGAACGTCAGCTAGCGAAGCACCTGCGATTTCATGGAACCAAAGGGACCGGAAGTCGGTGACTTCGCATGCGACGTTTGCAGGCACATGGATTCCTGCTTTACTCGCATCACTGGTCCCTCGACGATGGTGGCGACAGCGTGACAGCAGGCCTTGGAAGGCGGCACCGCCAACTGCTCAACTGGTGTGCCTGCGACCTCACAGACCCAAAGGGGTCAGCACTCGGAGACTACGGGGCCTCAAGAGCTCGCTCATGTATTCTTCTTGGGCCGCCTGGATTAACACAAGTCTCGCGTGCGGCGCTCCTACACCCGACGAAGCCCTGCGCCAAAACATCCACCCGAGACTTGAAGCCCCCTGCTTGCGCGAAGAGAACAACTTCGGGCTGGAGTTTGGTACCCACCCCGAAAGGCCGGGCATCAAGGCGCCTCCAATCCCGGCGGTGGGCCGCACTGGAGCGAAGGGTTCACGGTGCCTCAGAGCTCAGTTCAGCTTGGAAGGAGCCTTGCTGCTGCTTTTGGAGGAGAATAGGATATGCTGGTGGCCGCGCAGTCGTAGGAGCAGTGGCAGTGCCGATCGGAGTACTGGTCGAAGAAGAAGAAGCGTACGTTGTTACTCATTGGGAATAGGGTCTCTCGCTGACCAAGTAGCGCGGCGGGCGGAGCAGGGTGTTCTTCATTCCCTGTCGCAGCTTGGGAACAGGCGATGGGATGATGCCGATGCTGATGATGAGGTTCAGGGGCTATGGAGGTTTCGGATGCTTACCTTCCTAAGCCAATTTTTTGCTCGCAATCTTCTTGTGATTACGGGTCGTGCCATCAAAGACCATGGCAGCTGAAGATGGCAACCCTGTACAGAGTTATCAGGCTGTTGGAAGGGGCTAGGGGTATTGGACAGGCCTATAAGCATCTTGAACTATTTATGTCGTATTTTAACATAATTATGCCGCAGAATCCCGAGGGAGTGGCGCAGAAAACCGTAGGCAACATACCTGCCTGTTTTGAAGTATGCTTGTTCCGAATTCTGCATGCACATGCACGCCTATGTGTACATATGCACATGTGCACCACACACGTATACTGCCTCGCACCTCTGTGCGCGAACAGTCGTGTTTTTAAGCTCCATAAAACCCGGTAGAAACATTATCGCGGGTAAATGACCCCAGTGATGCCAAGACAGCTAGCAACAACATCAGCACAGATCTGTCATGCCAGACCGAATTGACATGCTATTTGCATCTCGTCGCTTGTCCTCGCGGTCTGTCAAAAGCAAGACCCGCTGTTGGAAACCCATAAAACAGCGTTGGCCAAAACATAACCGGATCTTTGAATAAAACTGCGCATAACTGTTACCCGACAACCGTATTCTAATTGTAATTGTTAAGAACGCGATGTCATCATGATGCTTCTAGTTTGGTACCAATGAGCTCGTGGTAGATTCCACGAATTTGGTGCCTTTGGGGTCTGACATGATGCATCTAGCGCCAGCTTACCTTTGCCACGAGCTGTTTCGGATGCCCTTCTCATCGTTTGCTTACCATCTCGTTACAACCAGTGCCTGGAGTCTAGAAGTCCTGGCCGATGCCCATCCCATCCGCAACCCCAAGAGAAGTTCCCGAGAATGCTGCTCCCATGGTCGTACGAGTAGTACCAGTAGTGGCAGTGAGAAGAGGAAGTAGTGGTGGTAGTAATAGTAGCAATAGCAGGCACCCCCCCTCCCCCGCTAATAAGTAGGGGCCTTGATCAAGATCAGGCCCGCGACCCAAACCCAAAGCGAAGAGCGAAGCAGAGTTTCCTCTGAGCCGAAGACGGCGATGACACATGGGGACGCTGATGTGGATTGGTGCGTTGCTGGCAGCGACGGTGTCGGTGATGCAGGCGATGAAGAGAGGAAGAGGATGATGATGAGGAGGAGGATGATGAGGATGATGAGGATGAGGAGGAGGATGATGAGGATGATGATGAGGAGGAGGAGGATGAGGATGATGATGATGAGGAGGAGGATGATGAGGATGATGATGATGAGGAGGAGGATGATGATGAGGATGATGATGAGATGATGGAGAGGATGATGATGATGATGGTGATGAAGGTGGTGATGAAAATAAGGATCCTGAGGATCATGAAGATGGTGAGGATGGTGATGATGCTGATGTTGACGGTGATGATGGCAGTGATGATGACGACGATGATGATGGTGCTGACGACGCTGATGACGATGCTGATCAGGTGATGTTTGTTGTCAGCTGCGCTGTCGCGCACAGTCCTCTTTGCAGCGCATGCATTGGCTGTTGGACTCAGACAGACTTCAACTGCAGCTGCATTGGGTGAGAAGCTTGACATCATAGCCGTCATAGCCCCACTCCAAGTTCGACTCGGCGAAGAGCTGCAGCTGGTGGAGTGCTGCCGCATAGGTGCGAATCGGATCGTCATCAGCCAGCCAAAGCATCCTCAACCTGCAGACCACTGTCGATTTGGGAAAGTCGTCGTTGTCCATCAGCAACTTGACCAGAAGGGACACCCACTTCTGACGCTGAGGCTTGTCTAACAAACGCAATACGACTCCAAGAATGTAGTCGCAAAGAATGGTGCTGGACGTGTTGGCAGACATGTTGGACTCCACTAGTTCTTCCAATATGCCGAGCGTGGCCTTTGCGATAGGTCGCTGCACGAAAGGCAGGCCTCCAGCAGCATGGTTCAAGACAAGGAGTCTGGCGGCATCAGCAAGGAACACATCTGAACTTCGACAGTGCCGAAGCAGACTTCGGAGGTTCTTACCAACAATGCGCTTAACGTGGCTTTCCGCAAAATGGGTTCTTGTAGTGGATGCCAGGATTGTACACCACCGCAGACCTGAGATTGAGGCAGACGCGGCCAAGGTCTCTACATGCACTGCCAACAAGACGGATGTGCTGGCTGCAGGTGGCTGCATGCGGCTGTGAATTATCTTCAACAAGCCAGGAGGCACTCGAAGAACTTCTGCTGCTCGGCATCGCCCTCAAACCAGGCTGCTATGGGCAAATCCAGGTTGCTTGCGACCAGCTTCATCTGTTCCACAAGCGCGACAATCGTTTCTGGCCTGCACGGCACAAGCTTAAAGCGTCACGACGTGCAACTGACAGAATTGCCTAGCTCCGTGACTTGCTTGATTTCACATGCCGGTGCAAGGAAAGCTTGCAAGAGGCATGCCGACAGACCGGGAAAGTGCTACTTGATACAACCCTTTCCGAGCCTGTCCATGCTACCCATCTCGGCCACATGATCTGTCAAGACCTTCAAGCAGGGGTCTCCAAGAACGGAGCACGTGGCGGGAGGCGTCGGACTGCAGGCCTTGGGCTTCGGGTATGCCGCGAGAGGAGGCGCCAGTTCAGCAGCTCCTGTACCTGTAGCGCGCAGAGATGCACAAAGGATCTTCCGACAACACCCCTTGCAACGTCTTGTCGACGGCCCTGCCACTGGCCACTTCGCAGCCAAGCCGCGCTCAAGAACGGCAACAGATTTGGCCTGAGGCTTCTGCGGCAGAGATGTTGCACATGGAATCCGCCGAAAGCAACCGAAAGTCCATGTAAGCAGGCAGTTGACATGGCATAACCTACGCCCAGGCACATAAGGAGGTCGTGCGGGACGAATTCCTCTCCTGTCCAGTCTTCATCGATGTCTTGGTCGCTGCTCCTCGCCAGCAGAGTGCTGCAAGCATCCCTCCGAAAAGCTTGAATTGCGGCCAAAGGCCATCATCGTGCCGGGCTCCGGAGCGAAACGTCAGCCGAGTAGCCGATCGAGGCACTCCGCTGAAGCACTCGTCGCGTCGCTCTCGATCTCCACCTCTGCCACTGGCCTTGGTCCACGCAATCACCTAAAAGAATGAGGAGTGCAAACATGCTCAGTTGCGGAGCTGGGGGATGCAACTGATGTAGACTGTCGAAGTCACAACATGTCACAACTATGCGGATCCAAGCGTTGTTAACATGCGGCGGTTGCATATCGGCATATTGTATCTGCACACTCCCGAGCTCAAAACCGCCCGATAGATCAATGCCTAGAGTGCCACTGCAGCAAACAGGCCTCGACAACTGCTCACCAGCTGCACCGTGCCACTGACCATGGCTTCCAAACGAAGTAAGATTCGCAGCAGCTCAGCTGCCCCGCTGCGGGCTCGCTGGCGGCCAAGTCACAGAGCTTCGAAGGGCGGTTCGCCCATTTTCGCCCGAAGCGCTCCAGGCAATGTTTCCTCTCCGTGAAGACATCAATATGGTTGACATGGTTTGCCCCTTTCGCACTCATGTTGTTAGGTCCTTGAAGTTGGGATTCGCGGTCTCGGAATCGCCTGCCTCAGGGAAGCTCTGGGATGCTGCTTGCCATCCATGGCTGATGATGGGTGAATGTAAGTGTCCCACCTCGGCAGGAGAACCGTGTTGAGGGGCAGTGCCTGGGAACTCCTGCGGTGAAGCGCTCAGGTGCTGAAGGGTTGTCGTCGGTGTGACTCCGTGCTTGCGTCCTGCAGAGGGCCGTGGCCGTGACTGTCGCAAGTCGTCTCAGAACTCAAAGATGCACCACTTCCCTGTTCTTGTCTCCGCCTTAGCACGTGGAAAGATACCACTTGTTGCTTGCCGTGTACTTGAAGCTGCTGTTGAAGGCACTGTCTGGCGATCTCGTGGATTGGATCGTCTTGTTGAAACTTCCTAAGCTCTCTGCTGCTGCAGCAAGAACACGTGCTAGCTACATCTTCGATTCGACTCCCCCCCCGCTTGCACTTGAGACGACTCTACCAACAAGTGCCTGGATGACAGGAATTGCCATTGCTGCCGCGGCGGCGGGGTCCCGGGTGGTGTCCTGAGGAGCATGATAGTCTCCTCCGGCCTCAGCAGTAGAGGCACACAGGTGTCGCACCCACCATGTGACGCGTCTGAATTAAGATGGCTGCAGCAGCAGCTCCGGCAGTGCATTTGCACCAAAAAAACGGGTCTCGGAAATGAGAGCACATGCTGCTTTGCGCTTCCCGGACGAGTCGAGACCTGCGACCCGCGCGGACAAGTCGAGAAACCACACATTGCTGCCCAAGGCTCTGTGCAGCAGCAATGGGTAGTGCACCCAGCGTTGCCACCACGGCCTCCTGCGCTCATGGAAACCGTCTCGGGTGAGGACTTGGACAAGTCTGCCCTTCTGGAGGTGTTGGGAATAGTCCTGAAGAGCTGAAAGAAATCTCAATCTGCTGTCCTCGGCAGCACAGTTCTCTGCCAGGGGCCGCTCTGCTTTGAAATGCCTGGGCTGTTGCTGCTGGCGAGCATGTCGGAGCAGTTGGCTCGCGTGGCATGGGGGATCTCGTGCAGCCAGCAGACTGAGTCGCGAGGAGCCTGCGCTCGAGTTTGGAGATCTTCTTGTTCCGTTGCGACAACCTGCACACAGTCTCTCACGCAGCGACTGCGAAGCCCTCCGTCGCTCGCTCGCTCTCGCTGTCTCCGCTTGATCCTCAGGCCCTTGCTGCTTCTCCAGGTTCCGGATGCACAGGTTCTGCCTGATCTGGCATGACATCTGACACCCTGAAGCTGCGGGGGTCGCGGTGAGTTTCTGCAAGGTCGACAGGCCGACGCGGCTCGCACAAATCCTCAACCTTGTTTCCCCGTCTCAGCTCTCAGCTGGTCATCCCGACGCTGCAGCCTAAGACGACAACTGCGGCAGCGCCACTAAAAGAAAACACTTGGCAGGGCAGGGGGCGGGGAGGAGGGGGCAGCGGAACTGGGGGAGAGGGTAGTGAGGAACAGCGGCAGGGCAATGCAGGGCAGGGCAGAGCCACGGCTTGCCCTTTCACGGACACAGTTGTTTTCCTATTCTCGCTGAGAGAGCCCTGGATTCTGTGTCGAACCACTTGAGACGAAAAGTGTTACGCGATGTACATGGAAGTGAGTTGCCATGCCACTGCTGTAAGTACCTACACCTGACTGCATGCGCTTTCAGACCGAATGAGGGCGCCTAGAATTAAAGCAAACAGGGGGACAGTAAGCAGTCGGCAGTGTGAAGTAGGTGTAGGAGTAGGTGCAGGAGTGGGAGTAGTGAGTCTACAAGCCTCTACATACATACATACATACAGACAGACAGACAGACAGACAGACAGCAAGTGGCTGGTTCATGTGCTGCAGGTTGTCGGCACCCCGTAATGCCCCGTACTGCAAGCCCCCTCTCGCTCGCTTGCTCGCTCAGGCCCTTGCTGCATGTTCTGCTCGTGGATGCACCAGTTCTGCCTGATCTGAGGCTGCGTGGGTGCAAGTTCCGGATTCCCCCAAGCAGCTCATGATCTGCACATGATCTGCAACTTCTGGTCGCAAAAACCTGTGTTCTTGGCTCTCGGCTGAGTCAGCTGACTTAGCTGCACATTGCATTGCACCAGCTGGTCATCGCGATGCTTCAGCCTGAGACGACAGCTGGCACAGCCCCTCTAATGGAAAGCATTTCACCGCTTCAGCCTACTCCCAACAGAAGAGAACAGAAGTTCCTACTGAGGCGAGACTGACGACTTTGGCCAGACTTTGTCGAACTTGGGGAGGAGGGCTGGGACGAAAGGCTAGACAGGGCAACTAACAGAGGACTGCAGATTGCAGGCGAAAAGAAGCAGCTGTTCGTAACAAATCGTAACCCCTCCTCGATGTGAGAGCTGACCACATGTTCACGCCAGTAATGATGTCGTGAGGTGAGCACGTATTCCACGCAACAGATCGTGCTCACTGCTATGTGTGACGCGGATGCTCGTAACAAAGAGTACCCTCTGTGATGTGTGAGCTGACCACGTATACCACGTAACAAATCATACACCCTGATATGTGTCATCTCAAAAAACATACAGACTCCCATGGTCGTCATTGTGTGAGCTGACCACATTGATACGCCGACACCCTTCACAAATCTGATGTGTATTCGCAAGCCGATGCCCGTGACAAATAGTGCCGCCTGTGACGTGTTGCACAACATACACACACCCGTTCCACATGCCGTTCCAGATAACAAATCGTACCTCCTTGTATGTGCGATCTCGAAACATACGCATGCCGTGATCTCCAAAACATACATGCGCACTGGCCGTTCTACATAACACATCGTACCCACCGGTATGCGTGATCTCAGACAGACAGACAGGCACACACACACACACATGCCCGTGACAAATCGTAGGCTCTGTGATGTGTGAGCTGATCACATTCAGGCGCCGATGCCAAGAACAATCGGATATCGTGACCAACGACATGCAGAATCAAGCTCCTTTGAGCAACTGCCAGGATGGCCCGATACTCGCAGACTCGACGCACTGCATTCGGACTGCAGAACTGTGAAGACTCACATTCAGCTACAAGCCAATGTCCATCTTGCTGCAAGTGGTTCTTGTACTATGTCAGGCAGCGACTGTGAAGCCCTCCCTCTCGCTCTCTCCCTTGATCCTCAGGCCCTTGCTGCATCTCCAGCTCCTGGATCCAGCTGTGCAGCCTGATCTGAGGTGGCGTGGTTCCAAAAAGCCCAGTCCAAGTTCCCCGAGCTGTTCCGGATCCGAGCTGTTCAAGTCTGAGCTCTCCTTTGGCACTTTGGGGGGAAATTTCCGCATTCGACAGGCTGACAGACCTCTCGCTTCAGATCGCCCAACGGCTGATTTGCGGGCGTTCTCGACTGGGACAGGAAGTGGCCCCCCCCTGTGAAGCAACGATTCTCTTGAAGCCCTCGCAAAAGCCTCCAGCAACAGATGCACCAGATGAATCTACAAGCCAACCTCTACCTTGCTGCAAGTGGCTCATTCTGGTACGGCATGTTTGGCCAACCGAAAATGAGGCCCTGTCAAGGCTCGCTCTGTTCCGGCAACAAAGCGCTGAGATCTGCTGAAGCCACTGCAGCGATGCAAATGCACACGCCTCGCCAGACGATTCTTGGCTCCATTGGCAGCCGTTTTGCTGCCACCAAGCCATGGCTCGGCCGGACGAGCGAATTTCTCAGCTTTCTCACTTTTTGGGCGTGCGCCTCCTGGTCCTAGACTGCAGTGCTGCAATCTCTCTCTCTCTCTCTCAGTGTTGAGAGTCTCAGGTGAGTGCACTGCACATTGCAGAAGTGCGAGGCTGCTAGAGCAAGGATGGCAAAGCCGGCGACCACAATCCCGTGACCTTCCTAGTCTACTTCTGGAGCTTCGATGCACGTGTCCTGGAGCGACGAGAATGGCAGCTGCTTTTCTGCGTGTCAGCCCGTGAAGTCTTTGGTGGCGAAGGGAGAAAGCCACCTTGTTTTACTTCTCCTGCAGCGACAGCACAACATTCACCACATGGCCAGCATCTGAGGATTTTATCTGACGCGGCTGAAGACCATCGTAGCTGGCCTCCAGGGCCGCAAAGAGCTGCCTGCGTGCCTCCTCCGCGTTCGCCTCCTTGAGCCGGGCCTGCGGCTGACGAGGCGGACTGCCGGCACATCTCCAATATATTATTAATTATATATCATATATCATATATCATATATCATATATCATATCTTATAGATTATATATTAAATATCATATACTGTATACTGTATACTATATACTACATACTATATACTATATACTATATAATATATACTATGTACTATATAATATATATACACACTATATATTATACATTATATATTAAGCTCTTTCTACCACCCTCCTTCCGTAATTCGCACGGAGGAATCTGACTGGAACTTCCGGCCGGCACGCAAGTGAGAGACGTAAAGATTTAAATCGAACCATGGGAACAAAGCGCAACAATGCTGTTCTGAAGTTCTTGTGAGGCGATGTATCGGGAGGGCGAGATAGGGCGTCCTCCTCTTCGGCCTTCTCCTTTGCTTCTCTTTCTGCCTGCTTCTGTTCCTTCAGAAGCCCCACAGACAGTCACAACTGAGCCGGACCAAGCGACATTAAGCGACTAATAGCGACCAGGCATCACCCGGTCTGGTGTTGTCCATGAACGCACGACTCTCAAACGTGGAAAGTGCCTCGCTCTTGGCTGCCTCTGCTTTGGCCTTCAACGCGTCCGCCTCTTTCCCAGGGAAAGCTTGCTAATCTTGCTAGAATTCACGCTTCCATCATTGATGGCAACAGATGCTTGCCACGTCAACATCCGTATCCTCTGCTGTGCCTCTTGCTGAGCCTTGAGCGCAATCTTAAGCTGCCGCCGGAACCTGCCACACATGCACACCATGCTCATACATGCAATGCAAGCACATCAGTTCGCTTGCGTCGACAGTCTCTCCCAATGCAGCCAGCTCATCCTCGATGGCAAGTAAGTTCTTTCGCCCTGTAGTCCCCAAATCCCTGCTAAGCCATGGCTGGGAAGACTGGATGGCGGTTTTGGCCGGAATGGACAGCGAGCTGAAGTGGGAGATGGGCTCATGCTGTGCTACTCCAATCGCACACTTTGCACATTGTGCGCACACTTTGTTGCAGCGACGGGACACGGGATCTAAGCTGCATGCCTGTCGGACAACAGCTTCTCATCCTCTTCTGCGCTGGTTGCGGCCTATGCTCAGACAGTGTATATTCTGCAGGAACGACCTTGCACCGTTGAGGTCGACGCCAGGCTTTCGCGGATTGGCTCTGACTCCGGCTTCACCAACCACCTGGACCAACAAAAACTCAGGCCGCAAGGACACCATGCCAAGACAGCTAAGACTTCTGACGGTTGCGGGCTGGTGTGCAGCTACATCAGCTACCAGAGAACCCATGTCATGTAACTCCGCCGGTGGGACTTGCCATCCACCATGGTTGTGCCGAAGCAATCCTCGAAAGCAAGCTCTCAGATCCCGCACCACCAGACCGCACAGGCTGGCAGAGAAAAGACCAAGAGTCATCCACAAAGCCATATCGCTGCAAATACGCCGCATTGGTCAAGGCCTGGGACAGCGCAGGCTACTGAAATTAAGCACTGAAGAGCTGAGGATTCGTGACGCCAGCAGGCGGTGATTCGTGAGCTACGATCGATGGAGTTTCAGCGCTCGGATAGCTCCGGCATCCCGAGTTGCCGGCCATGTCCCCAGTACAATCGCCGCCACAGCCATCCGGCCGGAACGGATCGCCACCATAGCAAATCCGAATCTGCCCAGAAGTGCAGCTTCGAAGAACGATTTCTGCAGGTCTCAGAATTCTTGCACAGGATCGGTCGCCCTATCCCTCGACGTTCTTGCAGGCCGGACAGTCGCCCTGCTATACTCCGAAGTGCTATGCCTCCTCGCCCTTCTTTATCGGAGACCTGGCGACCACCTCAGCAGTGGAAATGGAACCATGAAGCGCTGTGAGCTATGCTCTAATGACGTGACATGCTCAATGATCCAGACATGTTGATGGCATGCCACAATGTGCTACAAATAGAGGGCTGATAGACTTTGCTCAAGCCATGGTGTGTGCAAAAGCGCCTTGAACGTGGCCGTCACGAGGCCCTGCAAAGTCCAGCGTACCCTCATCTCGTGTAACCTGATGAGCGTGTCGCCATGCGCTCCCAAACTACGGCGTCACATCGCATGACGACGAGTGTACTGTGAGTGGCTGAACTCCAGCGTTCACGACCAAATTATGTAGCTCAACCATCAGCGGGACAAGCAGCAGCATTTCTCGAAACACTCGGCAATTCGCATACGATAGGAGTCCAAGGGGTGGGCGCATGCGCATCATGGTTGAAGAGGTCAATGCCTGGCCTGGAAGATCCAATGTGCGTCCGAAGCTCCGGTGTGCTGAGCTTGAGACAGGATAGACTGTGCTGCCGGCAGGAGGAGGCGCAGCAGGCCGTCTATTGGGGATACGACCGAGAAGGCACCTTAGCAGGCAAGCGTTGTGCCGACACCTGTGCAAGCGTTCAGAATGGGTGGCTTCTGCCAGGACTGTGGCGTTGAGCAACAGTGCACAATGCCCACTTGACGTCTTCCGTGTCCAAAGATGACCTAAAAACTCATGGCGGCTCATTGCTGCAAAGTTGTTGTCAATGACATTCTCACTGCGAACATGAAGGACTGAGTGCCTGTGCTCGTCGGCACGCGTTGCGCACAGCTGCCTGATCACTGCAGTCTTTCTGGGCGGTGGCAGTCACGCGGAAATCTCCCTGTAAGGGAGCGAGGCTGCTGGAAGTGTGCCAGTGAACGTGCTCTGGTGCTTCATGCTCTTGAATGCCACTGATACGAGTGCATGGCTTCATGCAGCTGGAGTGGCTGCAAGTTACGGGGGATGAGGAGGAGCCACAACAAAGGAAGGCGGCGGCAAATGAAACAGAGTCTTTCAGCACAACACGTCTCGAAGTGGTCTTCTGGTTGATATTTGCAGCCAGCATGCTGTCTCCGGTGTGTCTTCTGGACGACTTCCGGGCACTGCCTTCAAACAGTGACAGACTTGGCAGGTGAACTCGCGCAGCAGGAAGTATTTGCGCGGTATCATGTCAAGTCCCAGAAGTGCCAAAAAAAAACATTGTACAGTCTGCTGCAGGGAAGCAAGAGCGGCAGTGTCCATTCCAAGGCACTCCCATGCCTGCACTCGCCTGCATGGGCAAGATAGGTTGGCGAAACCGGGGCTCTTACAACATCTCCAGCTCTTCCTCCGAGAAGAAGTCTGGCATCCTGGAGAAAACGACGAATCGGCAGTTTGTCTTGCTGCTTCTTAGCGGTCGATCTGTGGCGAAACTACTTTTCCGCCAGCTTGGGTCGGAATTACACTCCAGGCTCCATGCTTGACATCGGAAATACCTCGCGGTGATACTCACCAGGGTTTCGGAAAGGCTGGAACTGGGATACACGAATATGTATTCTTGGTGGCTTGATCGTGCTGTCCTTTGGAAATGCTATCTGTGCTCCTGTCCAGAACTTGGTTGACGCTGAAACCTCTCTGAACTGAACATCTTGGTCTTTGAGGTCTGTATTCAGCTTGCGCAGGATGCTCACATCCGGCATGATCAAGGCTCACAAAAAGGACAGGTCGCGTCGTGCGCGTTGTGCTGATTGAAAGTTGATGGCTTCAACTCTCGCCGTTGCAACTGCTACTGCAGGAGCTGTGCCAACATCGCATCAGCTTGAGCAGCAACTCGTCATGCGTAAAGACACTACAAGAGCCCAAATGTGGCTCCCCGTGTGGAAAGCAAGAGACTGTCTGCAACTGCCTTCCGTGTGCAGGACAAGCGCTTGCAGGCACTGAAGGATTTACACCAACAGTGTAATAATAAACCGTGCCACCATATCTTGTGACAGGAGCAATGCATTCGAGCCGAGTCTTGAGACCTTTCGGTGGGGCGCTGCATGCTGACCTACCTGGATGCGATCTTCTTGCTCCTGCAAAGAAGGGGCACTGGTGAAATTATTTGAAAATGCTCGGTCATCTGTACAGGCTCGTCCCTGCTAAGGAGCCCAGCCGTCAGGGAGCTGCATCATGAGCAGGCGACTTGACCGCAAACCTCTGGCTCTGGCCCTGATCTGAGTCATCCTCCGAGTGCATCGGCGAAGCTTTCGTATGGACGAAGAAATGAAAGTGGTGCGAATAGGTCACTTCCTCCTCCGAAGGACAGGGGCTTGGAGTCCGACCACGTGACATGGTACCAGACCCATAAACGTCCAAACTGAGAGCTGGAGAGCTGGACCTGGACCGAGATGAGCTGGATCCCTCCGAGCGCAGTGGGGATGTGGATACGGAGCTCATTGTACGCAGCGCCTTAAAAGAGGCGCCTTCTCTGGACACCCAGCTTCTGATCCTGCGCCTGATCACAATTGAGTCACCAGAGTCCCTGCGCAGATCCTCAGCCTCTCCTTCTGACATTGCAGAGCCAAGAAAGCACCCTCGACGAAGTTGCGAGCCGATGCGAGCCGAAACCTCTGGTCAAGGTGTGATGTGCTGCTCCATTGAGGCTATCCTATCCGTCCGGATATGCGAAAATGAAGCACAGCGCCCGAACTGGAACAAAGCCAACAACGAGTAGCCCTCCCTGCTGCAGGCGAGCTATGAGCAGCATCGCACAGGAGCCCATCCTGCTGATGTCCGGTGATGTCCGTCCTGGACCAGAACCAGGAGGAAAACCCAGCGTGAAAAGCCCAAACCAACACCACCACATCGCAAGCTAGACTATGCAACAAATGGTCGACTCAATTGAACTCTGGTCCCACTCTACCGAGCAAACTGGGACGCCATAATAATGGCTGCCTGTTTCAGGTGATCATGCTTAAACAGTGCCGAAGCATGCCGGAGCCCAACACATCGCATCATGCGTTGACCCGAAACTGCCGCTAATCACACGCTCCGGTGCCTGGCAGAAGATCCATGTATGGCTTCAGCTCCTCGCAAGAGAAGGACGCAGCGGTTCATTTTCCTCTGCCCATGCATCTCGTGCGTGTGAGCGATGTATGCATAATTTACTTGAATCTAAGCTTCTTGCTGGATCATCCAGGAACCTCGATCAGTGCAGTGCCCACAGAAGCAGGGGGCTCTGAACAGAACTGATACTGGAGATGCACCCTTGGGAGATTTGGGAGCCACACTGCTCGAGATCCCAGGAGGTGAGGCCACGGCTTGAGAAGGTTCAGGGCCGGAGCACTAGGATCAGCGTCGTTCCTGCGCGGACGCCACCGGAGCTAAGATGCTCGGTCAAACTTTTGGCGATGCTTGCCTTGGCCTAGGGGTAATAGGCCAGTGCAGTAGGCAGGAAAGACACTTCAGTTCAAGCAAGCCCTGGACACCTTTCCTCCGGCCCTGACACAGAACTGACCCCGACATGCTGAAACCTGGATTCGCACTCGCTGATCAAGAAGGATACCTGGTATGATCGCGCAGCAGGAATCGGGCAATCAACCAGTCGCACCCTCGGCAGTCCCAGGCTCCGAAATGTCTATGGATGCAGTGAGGGGAATCTCCACCTCAAGTCGCAGCAGGGAGTACAAGCAGTCATTGGGCTGCATAGCCTCTGAGTCTTGGCAGCGGGCAATTGAGGTGTTCTCCGCGATGTCTCGCGCGGCAACGAGACCACGCCTTAGACACATGTAGCGTTTTGGTGGTTTTGCCTGCTGACAATCGGATAGCCAAGAGCCACGCATTCCATCGATGTCTGCTATCTCCACGTTGGCCTTTCTTTCCACTTCGTGTTTACGTCCACCCTGATTCTAAGCAGAGGTTAAAGGAACGCAGGGTAGATGAGGGCCCTTCGAAGAACCAGGAAGCACATGCGTCCTCCACGCCTTTCTGTGACATGCTCGGACCAATGCTCGTGACACTCTCAGAACCCCTCGATGGCTCGACCACCCCCCGTGCGTGTGGCAGTTCCGATAGGGGACCCCAACATTGTGTTCATGGTGCGGGGTGGCTGTTGGGGGGGGGGGGGTTGGGCGGCGGCATGATGCAAGACGAGAACACAATCGAAAGAAAAAACAGGGAAGCTCGCCGACATGAAGTTTTCCTCCTCCTATCAGATTTGATGGTGGTGCATCAGGAGCTGAATCAGGCATATTGACATCACCTGAGCGGCAAACCATGTCGCCACCTCTAGCAGCAACCCATTCAGCAAAGCGCTGCCAAGCATTCTCCTGTCGCCCAGATTCCGCTGGTGCATGTCTCTTGCCGTGAGAAGCATTGCAGCCCGCGGAATGATGATCATCTCTGTCAAAACACACCTTCCCGTCCAGGGGACGGCTCCAAGGATGTGGAGCCCTCTAAACGCGAACTCACCGGTCCTCTGTCGTCGATGCCAAGGCCTCACTTTTCGGGTAATGCGCACTGCCCTCGAGTCTGTCCACAAAGGTAGATGATAAATATCACACAGCAACTGCTTCAACTCATTGATAATTATGGCTCGTGGTTGGTCGGAGTGAAGGCGCCGCAGTTGAGTGGTTCTGGCGTTGTTAAGTTGCCACCGGCAAAAGCCTGGCAAACCGTCATAGACCCGCTGGTGACAAGTGTGATGATCAAGGAAGTCAGTTTGGAGGGCTGACGTTTTGCTTGGCTTGGATTAGCTTGGATACTTCCGTCTCGGGCCCTCTTCTGGGTCTTCCGGCGCACAGCCGAGAGCGCAGGCCGCGTTGCGGATGTCGAAGCTGTGGCAGGAAGTTGCAGCGAAGGGAGCATCACACGCAGTCTGCAAAAGCCAGCGCAATGACATGGTTCAGATTGTACATGCATCATGCGGGCAACCTTGACATTCCTGAAAAAGCAGCTGGTTGGTTTGGTGGTGCATCTCTCGCCTCTAACCTCGACAGAAGGGTGACGAGCCTGTGGGGACCAGCTGCGGTCTGGGCTTCCAGTCTGGCAGTCAAGCTAGGGTATTGCTTTAGTGGTTGCGCTCTCCGCTTCCCGAATCTTCGTCGGTGGGGCCGTGAAGGTCAAGAAGGCACGCAACCTTGCGAGTCAGACAGCTCTCGAAACGGTGTGTCATATGTCAGCCGTGCAAACAAACGAGCTGACAATCACAATACAAGTGCATCAGCAATATGGGCTTGCTACACTCAGAGTACAGAACCCATGCTCTCTTGTGTATGGCAAACACCCATATTCTGAATAAGGTTGTTGACATATGATGACATATGCATACGAAGCGGTTCAACCAAGCAGTCAATGCACGAACAGGAAAATTCATCAGGAAGTTGATGCGGTTGAGGACTTATCGCCCGAGCTGGCAACACGATCATACGGGCTTACCTACGTACACACACAGACACACACACACACTCTCTCTCTCGCTCAGACACATACCTGCATGTGCTCATACATGTAAACACGCCTGTGTTTCCGTATGATGGATTCATTGCAGTTCCGATTCCGAGTAGCCTCGAGAGAGCGAAGACAGCTGCCAAGAGGGACGCTCCAACCTGCTCTAACACTTCCTTCCACAAGACTTGCATCAACGGATGAAGCACGACAAACCGTCCTGTGTTGCAAGTACGCGTGTCAATGCTGATGCTCGCGATCGTCATCGTACTGATAGTATCAGTAGGAGTGGCAGCAGCACTGGTAGACTACTGCGGCCACCAACACAGACAACATCGCCAACAACAGCAGCAACATCTTCATGAGTAACTTCCAGCAGCACCAAAGATAACATGAACACCAAGTATTCCTTACAAACACTACCTCACCAATACCACCGCTGACCATACGGGACAGCAATGGCAATACGTGGTGGTGAGAACATGACCAACATCCTACTGGTAGTAAGGATGCCAGGTCGTCATTGCGCTTCTGCCATCTCTACCAATCTGCCATGATGATGATGACGATGAAGAGGATGATGGCACCAATGGCCATTGAATCCGCCTTCTTGCCAATCACCATTATCTACCGGCTTGCAACAAGATCATGAGATTCCGTACTGCTACTGTTGACAGATTTGGCCGTTCTGATTCTCTGCCAACCACGAACCGTCATTGTTGTCAATGGCGCTACTACGCCTGTGCTTACTACGGTGACGATCACTTCTCGGGGCAAGACAAGGCTTCGTCAACTACCTTTGATGCTGCTACTGCTATGCTGTTGCTATGCTACTGCTACTTCTACTGCCACGACAACGGTGACGACGACGACTACTTCTGCAACCTACCATCTAGCAGAACAGCGACAACAGCATCCATCATCTACTACTACTACTACCACCACCACCACCACCACCACCACCAAGACGACGACGACGACGACTACTACTGCTACTACTCCTGCTGCTGCAGCAGCAGCAACAGCAACAACAACAACAGCAGCGAGGACGACAACGGCGACGACGACAACGACAACGGCAGCAGCAGCGGCGGTGGCGGCGACAACGACAACGGCAACGACGACGACAACGACAACGACAATAACGACAACAACAACCACGACGACGACGACGACGACGACAACAACAACAACAACAACACCAACAGCAAACCACAACCCACAAACCACAACCACCATCACCACAACCACCACCACCACCACAATCACCTCCACTAGCACCACCACAACAGCGACGGCGGCAGCAACAACCACATCCACAACGACAACGACAACGACAACCACAACAACAACAACAACACCTACTGCTGCTGCTGCTGCTGTTGTTGCTGTTGCTGTTGCTTCTGCGACTCTACTACTACAACTTCCAAATCTGCATGCCTGGCTTGGCATTTTCTCTCAGGAGTCAAGTCTGCAACACAGGGAACTTCTTCTCTTGACCAGCCCGTCAACAAACACAACACCGCCTTTGCTCGTGATCGCCGCATGTGGCCAAGAAGGACCCTTTTAAATGTGAGCTGTCTTGCTGCGTGTAGTTTTCACCATATGCCTCCCTGCGAATCTCAAGCTGGTGCTTGCTGGGGCTCGCTCGCTCGATCAGTTTCAGGTAAGGGCTCACTATCTACTTTACCATGCCGAAGGTGGGTTGTGCGCCGGTATGGGAGCATCACAATTGTCTCCGGGCTGAGAGCCTCAAAGCTGTGGCGCATAAGACAAGCTCAAGGGCGAGACCCGCACAGTGCATCTGAGTTTCCGGAGTGTCAGCCAGGTCTCACTAAATCTGTGCAAGAGATGCAAAGACCTCTCAAACGTAACTGGCTGTAGATCGCTTGATCCTTTTTTGGGAGATGCGTCGCTGGTAGGACTCCAAGAAGCGTAGTCGAAGCCCGTGCTTGCAGGGCGACCAAGCACCTACGAGTGGGCGTCTGCCTTTCCGCGGGGCGCAGTACAAGGCTTGATCCTTCGAAGTCACTTCCGACCGTGGGTGTTACGTGGGATTTGGAGTTTCGGCAGGGTCACATCAATACAAATAAAGTGCTGGTGTCGTGAGGTCTGCCAGCGCGAGCATCAAGTCGTCCTGGCAAGTCCAGCTGTTCTAACTGGCACGCTAGCCATCCGAGCACACGACCAAAGCCGCTGGAGCCTCTGGATGTAGGCCGAGCTGACCCAAAAGCTCTGAGAATGCCAAGGCAGTGGGCCTCGAGGCAAGGGAAGGCACGGCGAAGTATTCTGCCACTGGGCACTTCGACTTAGCCTGCAGTGGCTTCTTTCAGGACAATGCCGGCAAAAGAGGCTTTCTATTATGCTTCAACAGGTTGTTGGCGCTGTAATGTGCCATATGATACGAGAGCCGAATAACGAGCAAATAGCAACATGGTGAATGCCACCGGTAGCAAACCTCTCCATGGCCCAATTTGACATTCTCAATTCCGAAGTCTGCACATCCTGCGCTGCATCCAGAACTCCCACACCTTCGACCCGAAACGACCAAACTCCTAGCCCCTCCAAATGGAAACTTCCAACAGTTTGAAGGCCGTGGCCCGTCGAGCTCGCCCTGCCGCCGCATTGCCGCTCCGGCCACGAGGGTGCGGAGCTCGGGGCCACCAGCTCCCAAGGCCTTAGACATGTACACACACACACGTGTATGCGTATGTACATATCTTTTTTGTATATGTACTTACATATGTACATAATGTATGGTATGTCAGGATGGCTGGATGGAAGGATGTACATATCTATATATATATACATACATATGTACATGTATATGATATACATGTACATGTATGTACATGTACCGTGTATGTATATGCTTTGCGTCTGTGTCTCCGTCTGTCTGTCTGTATGTATGTATGTACGTACGTATGTATGCAAGTATTATATATATATATATACATACATACAAACAGAAACATACATACATACATACATGTTAGGTCATATTACAGACTATATACAGATACATAAGAGTGAGTCTCTGCAAGTGTACGTATGCTTTACTGAAGATTTTTGTTCCATTCTGTCTAGTCTAGTCTAGTGAGTCTAGTGTACTTCAAGTTGTATCAAGTTGTTGTATATGATGTAGGCCCCATAGTACGTCAGAGGTTGTGCGTGTATACGTGCATAGATGTAAGCATGGACAGTATGGACCGGATAGAAACACAAACCGACAGATATGTGCATGTGCCTAGATGACTTACCAAAATGCTGCCGCTGGACAGCCAGAACATCTGGTCTGCCTTCTGCCCTCGCCGTGGAACCGCAATGAAGTCAGAATGCAAAACCGAAACTACAACCACTGTTGCACCTTGCACCCTAGACGATCAAACCAGCATTAAGGCCGTCCAGGTTTCTCACGACCTTCGGGCCTCGTTGCTGCAAAGAAGCCACGGCGGCTTCTGCTGCTTTCAGCAAGGTTGCCAAGTCGAGCTCATTGGCTCGGGCTGCAGACCACACCTGGGCCCATCTTTGCCCGGCGTCTCTTGACCCTTGGGGTTTCGGAGCATCGGGGCCAAGCTCTTGCTTGATTTCTGGAGTCGTGCGTTGTATACAGGCGAGGAACGGACGTTGTGCAGCCCAGTGGAAAAAGCGATGAATAGAATGCGCAAAGAACTCTTTGGATGTACAGACTCCTGAACAGCAAAGTTGTGCCGAAACAACGAAAGCTTTCTTCTACGGCCTGAGATGGGTTTTCGCATTGAACATCTACGTGTTCACAGCAGCGAAAGGTTGGCTGGCACTGCCCTTTTTACTGCTGCGCAGGACCCTGGTCGGTGTGACTTCTAACGCTGCATTGCACGGCTTGTCTCTGCCATGCTATTCGCTTCCAGTCCATTCGCTGATGCAGGTCTCCAGGGCGAGTCGTTCGCCTAGGAGCACCCGAGCCTGAGTATTCTCAGACACGACACGGCTAGCCTGCCCGGCTGTTGGCTGCTGCTGTGCCTCGCGCTCGCCTACTTCAGACATTGCCACTCGGTTTAGTTGCAAAAATCCCATGATCTGGTACTACATGGGCGCTTCCTCTGCTAGGACACGTGACCATATGTGACCATGACTGAGCGGATCATGCCGAGCCGCCGCCAGGCGAGAGCGTACTTCCATGGGATCCTGCATGGTCAAATGCGTTACGATTTCGAGAGCTGCTACTGCACGTAGCGGAGCGGTGTAAGTCTAACTCATCGCGATAGTAATGTGACGCCGGGACAAGCACAGTCCCATGTTGGGGACGCTGAATCTTGAAGCTGTCTTTGCGTTCAAGAGCCGCGAGAGGTTAATTTTTATTGCACAAAGCGGCCATCAGACGGCCCCTGTGATAGGCAATAAGTTGGAGTGTTTACTATGGTTCGTGGAGTGTCGGAGAAGGCAAGCATGGGCAGGTTTCACCACATTTCGACACCGCATTTGGAGCTCACTCAGGCTCGGTGGCTATGTGTCAGTCGCCGAGCGGCTGCAGTCTTCGCTGTGTGAAGTGTTGTCCTGTGCAGCACGTATATAGGAAACACGGCCCAGTCGTCGTTGGCGGCGAAGGCGGAATTACCCTTGAAGCCGGTCCATCCTAGCCACCTCCGCCCAAGATGACGAAAAGGCAGGTTGCTGGGGTAGGAGACGGCACGGTGCTTGCGCTCCCCAGCAGTCATGCCAGAGCAACCGCTGAGGCCCCCGAGCTGATCTGAACGGTAGTTCCACCGGGAATACAACGAAAAGTCACGAACAGGCGGCAGCTACGGGTAGATGGTAGTTGACACCCATCTCGGCAATCCAGCCGCCTGGCAGAGGGGCACGTACACTGCCAGGAAGCGGGTGCGCTCGGCCACGGCCCCAGAGATGATAGCGGCCGCAATGACGGCGGAGGTGCTTACAGTATACCTAAATATCAAATTGCAACCTGTCATAACGAACCACGTTCTCGCATCTACCGAACACATGCAGCCAGATTGCACCTTTGAGAACATCGGGATTCTAGATTCAGGCCAAAGGTCATCTGAAAGACTACAAGGGTGAATCCTGGCATGGCGATTCGGGACCCCACTGCGTGGAAGTTGCGGCAGCAAACATAGGTAAAACCTCTGCCTGCGACTCAAAGGACCAGCTAAATCCGAACACCAGCCAAGTGATGGTCAGGCCCATGGAGATGATGAAAAAAGTGCCAACCCAGGCGTCATGAGCAGAGATAAAGCACAGGACGTGGCAATCAAGGCGGCGTCGCCGTTGTTGAGACCCTCCATGTTTTCAAAGGGTTCCTTCCAGGCTTTTACTTAAACGATTGAAGTTGCCGCGCGGTGCCCTTCAGCCGAGCGGCGGCCAAGCTACGCTGCATGGTGCTACAGCAGTGCGCAGCACTCTGCATGATGTGTTGAGGAGCTGGTCAGGTCATGCAGTGCAACTGATGTAGACTGCACTCTGCTCTTTGGCTTGCGGCCGACGTGGCATCTGTGTTTCAAGAATGGTTTGACCTTCCCCGAAGTAGGAATTAAATAAACGACCAGGCCGTGGCTTTTGATTCCCTAAGTGGCCCGTCCTTTGTTTCCAGTGCAGTGCATCTATATCTGTGGACTGTCAACTTTGCACCATGATTCTTGCGCGTTGTGTGCTACAGCTCCTCGATAGGTGTCTGAGAACCTGGTTTCGGCCTTGAAGCATCCCTGATGGCGTTACCACTCCATGCTATTGGCCTCGTTCTCCGTCTCCCGGACGAGAGCTTTGTCTTTGAGCTCTTCCTCTGCGGGAAGTTCGGAGAGCGCTTCAGAGCAGGTGCTCAAAACCTGTCGCAGATGTGGCAGCGCAACTCTCCGCAACAGCACAAGAAACATGCATCACATGCCCAGGAGGGAAGCCTGCTCAGCAACTTTCTTTTCGTTGTCCTGCAAGAGGCTCAACAGAGCCGACACGTGTGCACTTGGCAGCAGAGCTGGCCCTGTTCGAGCCCATCCTCGACCGCCACCGTTTCAATGAACTAGAAGAAACAAGCACGAGACTTAAGACCACCCACGCCTGGCTGATGGGCGACTGCAGCGCTTGCAGGGTAGCCTGTCGGAATCTTTCGGACTTACATGGCTCGGCCGGGCGGCAGGAAGTGGATTTACTCTGCGATGACCGTCAAAGCTCCGCAGTAGTAGCATCGGTGAGCAGATCTTGCAACGGCGATCTGCACAGCTGCATCTTTACGACGAATAACTTTTCTATTTGCTGTAGGCTTTGGGGGAATCCTCGGGCCAACCGCGGCAGAAGCCCTGCTCTGCGCCTTGGGCTCTGCCCTCCAGGCTGCGAGGTCCGCAGCTATGGGCCCATCCTTGCAGAGGCGAAAGCCCTTCTGCTTCTGCTTCGGCTCTTCGAGTCTCCCCCCCCCCCCGGTCAGAGCCTCCTTCTTCATGTGGGCCAAGCGAAGCTTGGGCGCCATGGCCCGGCACCTGCCAGCGGCTCAAACGTCAAAGCCCCATGAGTCGCCTGGGTTTTTGGCCCCAGTTGAGGTCCAGGCTGAGCTCGAAGTGGCCTTACTTCATGCCAGAAGCCTTGCAAGACCTCCAAGCTTGCAGAGCAGAGCTTTGGACTCCCCAGTTCTGCTCTGGCCTCCGGGTCCGCACCCAGAGCCTCGAACAGGGCCTGCTTCTGCCGGGCCATGGGATCCTCTGCCTGCTGTGAACAGAGAGCCCAACCAAACCGCCCCTCGCACAGCTGGCCTGCACTCCTTCGAAGAATACAGGCCTGGACAAGTCTACACTTTCCATGGGTGGCCCACGTTTTAGGATTTGCTGTGTGGCTAGCATTCCGCATTCGACATGCATGCAGGATATCAGAACAGTCGACTCTCAGAGACACGGTCTGTCGCAATTTTGCAAAGTTTATAGCCGTGCCTGCCAGCATAGGCAGGCATGTTGTTTGGAACAAAACCTCGCAAGCTAGCAGCCAGGGCTGTCAAAGAAGAGACCATCACTGTCTCTATGCAAGTTGGATAGCCGTAGGTGTGCACCATTTCCCACGCCAGGCGGAGCCCGACGCCACCATCGTAGTCGATGAAGATCTGCTCTCCAGCTGCGTGGTCGCGGCCTGCGTTGTCAGCCGCTCGGTCTCTTTCTGCAGTCAGTGAACGGGGGCCCGCCTGCCATGAGGACGGCCTCTGGCTCTTTGCCCTGACACCAAAGCTCTGCGATCTTACGTACAGTAAGCAAAATCCTAAATTCTGGTTGAATGGCCTCCAGCTGCGCCTCCTCCGTGGCTGCAACCACTTGACCGTCGGGTGCAGCCCTGAACAAAGCCCACATCTTCCAAACACAGAATCACATGCTGCATGCTGGCTTGCTGCAAGGGAGCACGCCAATGGAACAGGTGTTGTTGGACCCGAGCTCGTGGTTTGCCAAATCGAGGCCGGGTATGAGTGACAGCTCATTGCCAAAGGGCAATGCGCGTGTCAGGACGATGGCATGCGCCCAGAACCACTCCTCCTCCAAACGATGGCTACGCAAGAAGCGGGCCAGTCCAAGTGATGACGGACTTAAGCCTTACCCCGATTAACTGCTTCACTTCATCCGTCGGAACAGTCCAGGGCGAGAAAATCACTGCCAACTGCCTCCGTTAGCTCGGCGGAGAGCTCGGGCACGTCTTTGGCCATCGCCTGGATGCTGCTCCATTGCCTGACAGCTTTCATCTCTGGGATTTCACCTGTTTCCGCGAAGTTGGAACTTGGGAAGCAACTGATCTAGAATCTTGACCCAGGTCGACTTCACAAGTGGCCCACGAGAAAGGCGCAGGATCCGGTCTCTGCCTAGACTCCTAGACATGTCCAGACCAAGGTGCTCCAGCAACCCGAGGCGCTGTTGCTCTGCCGCTAGGTCCAGGGGGCTTCCAACGAGGAGACGCCTGCAATGGACCGAGCCGAGAGAATGGTCGTGACGATGCCTTTCAGCTGAGAAGCGGAACGGGCACAGCCCCACCTTCGGTCCTCCTCTGGCCACAGCAGTGGAATGTGAAGGTCGCTGGCGCCAGGCAAGATCCTCCCCGCTCTTGTCGGGCACGGACCATTAAAGAGGGAAGGCCCTGGCCCTGGCCCTGGCCTGAGGTAGGGCCAGAACTTGCTTTGCTCCTTCTTGCTCACCTCGGAGAGGAGGCCCAGCGCCAGCACCGCCTCGGAGAAAAACTTCTCCGAAGGTTCCCGGTGCCGCTTTCTCCGTTGCTTCCCAGGCGGCGCTGTCGTCCAGCTGCAGGGGCTCCAGGGCCCTCCCCAGCGCTGAGGAGCCTCGGCGCACGCTGAGACTGAGAGCTTCTCGCCGAGGCCCTGCCGCATGAGCTGCCGCCTCGGGGCGCACTGAAGATGGAGAGATATGCATCGAGGCGGGCACTCTCAGCAGCACATCGCCAGCCTGGCTCGATAAGACGCGAAGGTCAGGACCCTGCAGAGGGATCGAAGAGGTGCGAGTACGTAATTTTCTGGAAGCATGTTGGCGGTGCAGTGGTCGGGGTGGAGGAGCCCGTGGCGGGCCTTGCGTTTTTTCGGCTGTGGATTCTTGAGATCGTCGAGCTTATGCTTGAAACGGTGGTGTTTGTTTTGCATGTGGTGATTTGCGTAAGCATTTGTAATTTGTATGACATTGAAAGAGATCGACATGGAGAAACTGGCTTTCCTCCAAGCCTCTGTTTGCCTGGCTTCCGCGAGAGCTATCAGCGCCGCAAACAGCACTCCCCAGCCTTCACTCCGCCCTCGTCGGCGACGAGGCTAAATTTGAAGCCTTTCATCTCACATCCAAGAGCGCACCGAAACTCAGCCTGCCACCCTTCTGTGCGACCAGCAGACCGGGCAGGTCTACGAAGCGGACTCCTGCTGATGGAGCGCCGCCCTCCTCCATCCACTCCTCTGCGGGCACTAAAATTTCAAGCAGCATGAAGCAAAATCGCAGCATGCAGTCCTGTAGTCCTGAGAGTTCTTCCGTAACCTGGCAATGAAGGTACTGCAAGACTTGGCGCCTTTCTACCAGCAAGTCTTGTGCATCTCAGCCTCGGCGGTGGCGTGCAGGGTGACTCTTCGGCCAAACCACCTGATGGGCTCTGCTTACACCGTTTTAGAAGTGGTGCGACAACGACTGACAAGACTCAAAGCTTGCCCCGCTGTATGGGAAATGGAGTTCCGCGAAGCATTCGGGCATGACTGGGCAATGCTGTCATGTTCAACTCCACAGCGGCTTGGACAGGATTTTGTTCCTCTGGTTTCGGACTCGGGCAGGAGTGTGCGGGCAAAGGAAGCCTCTCGTCACGCCGAGCTGTGTGTGAGCGCGCTTGCGTGCGATCAGATGACTGGGCAACGTGACATGGGCGCTTGCACCGTATGCAGGCTTCAAGACTGACGTCAGTCCCCACCTTTCCGGCAAGCGCCGGAGAGCGGCGCCAAAGTCGGCCTGTTGGCGGACCGAGGGCCGCGTGGCAAGGCGCACGAAGGCCCAGCTGCGGGACAGCCTGGGGCTGTGCAGTCATCCGTCGAACATGACTGAGATCTGATCATTGGACCATTGAAACGAGGCTCAACTTGAGCAAAGACATGACACAGCTCGTACACCGGAGGCAATTTCCTCGTCCCGTGAACCCATCGCATCCCCATCGCTGAGGAGCAAGACGAGGCCGCCGAAAGTGGCGGCGGAGCACAGCAGGGCCTGGCCTGGCCTCCTAGGCGCCCTTAGCCCCATGGCGCCGCGACAAAATGCGACGGCTGCCGGTTCCCCTGCTCCTATATTGGACGCAACCAGGAAACGTTAGGAAACGTGTGGATCCGTGGTTTTGCATGTAGTAGTAGAATTGTGGTTGCTCCTTGCATCTCTCATTGTGGTGGTTCGGCTCAGAAACCTTGTTGCTGGGCACGGCAAGGCATGCAAGGCAGAACTGCGACACTCCTCTCCCGATGCACCAAGTCAGCAAATTCGATAGGACAAGCCGACTCGCTTCTGCTATCGAGGCCACAGAGAGCGTGAGTATGCCTGGCCAACAATGTGAACATGAACTGGGGCACGTGCAGGCAGCAGCAGATTTCTTGCTGCTTCTGCAAGCACCTGCTTTCTGCCGCTCGTCTCCTATATAGCATAATCTTCTGGCCCCAGATCTTACGGGAGGTGGGAGAGCTCAGAGACCTCGAAGGTGTGGCAGCCGGTGTGGGGTGCGGGAACGGAAGACTCGGAGGGCGACGAGATCCCAAAGCCCAAACTCCCTGATACGACGCCGAAATCCATGAAAATGCCGGCTATGCATCATCGCACTACGCAGAGTTCATCAGCACACGCCTCCCATGCCGCGCCAAGCGCGGCTGTACGCTCTGAGCGCATGGCATTGCGCTGCATCCTGGCACGGAAAGGCTTCTATGTGAAGGGGGAGGGGCCTGTGCTGGGTGTCCGACTGCGACTGGACTCCAGCGTGCATGTCCCGGGGCGTTAGCTAGCATTTCTGTTCTTAACAGACGGCTGGAGGAGTTAACTGCTTGCCAATGTCTTCTGAATGGTCTTCCTGTCGAGTGTCTAGGGACATTTTTGGTGGGTCTAGAACTATACAGTGTACCCACAAGGCGGGGGGTACATGACCTGTTTGTGCGCTGCATCATTCAAGCATGCCAATTCATGTCGTGCTGGTTCTGGGAAAGCCCAAGCCAACATGCACATCACAACCACAAGAGCACACTGCAGCAGCTCTTGCAACCTTCCGCAATGAAGAAGAGTTTGCACATCGCAATCCAGCCGGAGAGGACAGCAGCGCCAAGTTGTGCAAACCTGAGACCTTCATGTCTGCTCGCGAGACAAATCTTAGGTGAAGTAGCCTCTGTCACTGCAATGATCGTAACGGCTCTCCAGCAAAGAAGATCAATAACGTCATATGGCATGCCCACAAATATTCTGCAAAACAAGTCCATTGAGCTCAGGGACGGCGCTGTCCAGGTCGAACTGGGAGCTCGTAGCGATCATCCTTTCAGCCACCTGAAGTGCAAATGAAACTGCGAGTAGCGGGATTACATGCTTGTTCCCATGTGGGTTTCAAAACCCACCTGAAAGTGGCATTCAAACATGCTGCTGCATAAAGCCGCACACCTTGCGCAGGTGGCCACATTCGAACGTGATCTGCCATCGAGCATAGGTTTTCAGCAAGCTCACCTTGGCCAGCCGGGCATCACATCATCAGCGTTGACAGTCGTTCTGATCCACCCGACTCCAAGCCGGAAAGTTGAGATGACCGCAATCTCGCGGGGCAGGAACAGCGGCAAACTCGAAACAGCAGCCTGACTTGACACCCATCTGCACTAACACAGCCGATGGGCAGTGACAGTGACGCTGACTTTGCTTCGAAAAGCTGCTCGGAATAAAGCATGTGCTAATGAAGTGCAACTCTCCCCAAGCGCACCAGCCGGAGGTGTCTGAAGATTTTCTGCAGGTACCGGACATGGGACACATCCGCCACCTTCACAGCTGGTGAAGGCACGGGGAAGTCTAGACTAGAGTCTAGCCCTGTTACGGGTTTTGAACTTCCGCTTGCAAGAACAAAAACACCTAGGGGATGTTCAGTTTCCATGCCTCGAAGCACTGACCGAAGGCGTATGCAGCAGCAGAGAGGCCGCTCGGGTCCATGCTGTTTGCCTGGCTTCAGACTTCGGTCTCCCATGCAACCAGATTCAAGGCACATCCGCTCAAGTACATGACGATACGTGACGATAGAAGTACTGTAGCTGGCATCTCGACCAGCCATGCTTCGATCTTTCTGATACGAGACACAGTCGAGAGTGCTTCCACCGTCAGCGAGGCTTCTCTGCGATGCCAAGGTCTGCTTAACAATGGACTCGATACATGCCAGTGCAGCTACGTGAGGCTTGCCCCTAATGGCCTGCATTCGTGGATAAAGGCACCATTTTGCCCAACCCAGGGTATCATTCGGCAGGCTTGCAACATGCTTGCAGCCGTGTACCCTTCCGGCTTGCTAGTACTAAGTACTGCTCATCATGATTAAATTCACTTCTGCGCGAGAGCACCAGGAAAATGGGAATACTGTACCGTATCTGACAGAAGCAAGGGATCCCAAGTTCGTGCCTGCTCACGACTCTGCAGCACACAGGCAGTGAACAAGTCCGGCGCATGGCAGGACACGCTCCTTGGATGACGAAACTGCAACCCTGCTGCAACAAGAGCACTCTTCTCTCTGTCGTCTTGGAAACGTAAGGAATGTAGGCAGAGGACATGCAGGCATGCATGAGCCGAGCCAGCTCCAAAGGCGTCGCCTGGCCGGGGAGGGCTGCAGGTTCACACGTTGTGACGTAAATCGACACGTTGCGACAGTCTGGCCTGAGGAAGAGTTTGCACACAGCCGTCTGCAAACCGGCTCATGGTGGTCGCATCAACACCTTCAAATGTCAGCAGCTCAATCCAGCATCTGCTTCGGGTGCTGCAGGCAAACACTAGCCCACGACATATGCGCCGTCACACACTGCATCATAACACGAAGCAAACTATTCCGTGTTCGAATTTCCAACATGTTCAAACCCTCTTGGCCGGCATACATTAGAATTAGAAGGCCTCGGATTGAATCAGCTACACACACGGGCCAGGGGGTGCCGCAAAGTGCTGTGGTCTCTGGAGCTTTGCGCTGAGGATGCAGCAGTTTACGCGTGCCAGCGCCCCAACAATTACCTCAGCAGCATCACTAATATGACCCAGTAGCTGGGTTCAGACTTCAGGGAACTGATGGTTTGTCAATTGTTTGTCAGCATCCAGGGTTCGTGCGGAAATGTCGCGCACGTGGAAAGCCTCTGTGCCCATGCCTGAGTATAGCATTGCAAAGGCGATTGTCACATGCGCTAAAGTAGGCCCCCCCCCAGGTAGCATTTGCAAGAAATGAGGCCTGACTAATCACAGAACCATGTTGTACGTGGGGCTCCTTCCAAAGAACAGGGTTGACCCTGTCTGGTTGGTGCAGGATTGCTGCACAAAATTGGGACCTAGGATGCGAACGGCTCTGCGTGTGGCTGACCTGCGCACACGATCTTGCCGCTCACTTCTTATCAACAAGAAGCCCTTGGCGACTTCCAGCCACAGCCAGTGCCCTCGTAAACATGCCGGCAAAGCAAATCGTCGGAACAAATCCTCAAGACGTGCGTTTCCAGTCGGCCGGTAGAGGAACAGCCCATTTTCTGCGCATCGTCCATTTCAGGCATGCTGCACCATTCCCGGGGGGTTGGCGGTTCATAGAGCTATGCGAATGTCCGCAAAGAAAAGTCAAGCCAGCGTGAGAGGGTACATGTAGGAGTTTTGAACACCTTAAACCACGTGACGCAAGACCATGCACAGGCTGTCCTCGTCGGTGATGCGAAGCTTGCTCACAGCCTAGAGAAGGCGCACCACATGCTATGTGCGAATCGGGACGAAGCCACATTTCATGTTCTCTTGCTCGGTGCACAGATGCCTTGCGAATCCACGGGCGCAAGTTTGGACAACGGAGGGCGCGGCGTTGATGATCATCGTCAACTCCATGGAGCTGTGAAACTCCATCAGCCGCGCCTGCAACGCGTGCAAACAGCACAAAGTGGTGATGACTCAGCGATGACCATGGCCGCACATGCTCTACCTGCGAGAAACACGGAATCCATGCCACTTTAGCATCCCTTACGCTCACCATCCTTCTTGCGTCGATGTGGCACATAGTGCGCTGCGGTGAAACACTTCGCAATTATCATACAAGTCTGCTACCACTACCAAGCAACTCTAGCGCACTTTGCTCTTGATCGCATCGAAGAATCGGAACGTCCGAACGTTTGGATCGAACATCTGCGTCACAGACAGCTGCAGGGCTCTATGTGCCAAGGGTCGGAGGTGCTGGCTGGCTTCTGAGACCAACTCTTGGTACGTTACCGGCCCCTTCCTTTGTTGTGCTAACTGCTGCATGGCTTGGAGAAATGCACTTGTAACGAAGCCATGCTCTGCCATGCGGAGCTGATTTAGCTCTTCCAGAGTCATGTCTGAGCCGGCTGCTGAAAAACATACCACGTCAGCACTTGAGGATGCAGAGCTGCCGGCAACCCATCGGTCCTGCTCCACATCGTAGAGCAGCGGCAACTCTGGACAGAGACAGGGAATGCAGCAGTCCAAGAGCATCGTCAATCTGACATGGGCTGGCAGACCCCGCATCAAGGTCTCGTGAACCTTCTCGGACGATATGAAGCCAGCATCCATAAAGTCGGATGGGCAAAGTGCATCGCTTCCTTCTGCATCGTCCTGCGTCGCATGGCCACTGAAGTGGAAGAACAAGACATCGCCCGGTGCAACGTTGTGGGTCAACCACTGCATGGCAGCGATGCAGTTGCTCTTCGTCGGGGCGACTTCCGGTGCCCCGTGGCGCGGGGCATCGTCCGTTAGTTTTAACATCCATTCTTCTGGAAATCCCAACCTTCCGAGCACAGCTGCGACCCTCTCAACGTCGTTGATGCCGTTTCGTAGCTGAGCCGAAGTGCCTGGATAATTGAGTCCGATCAGCAGAGCCTTGCGCCGTCCGGTTGCCTTCGGCTCCCCGCTTGGGAAAGCCCGCTGAGGCTCCAAGCTGCGGCTGAGGGCTTCTCGCCTTCCGGCCTGCAAGGCGGCTTTGAAGCGAGGCCACGGCAGCCAGTCTGGCAGGACCGGATCCGCTTCGACTGGCTCCACGGAGGGTGGAGGCAAAGCGGGAGCAGCAGTGCCAGGCCAGTCCGGCCAAGATGGAGACCGTGCGGCCTGCGAGGTGCTCGTGCTGTCCGGCCAAGGCCATGATGGGGAAGCTGATGGACTCTGACTCTGGCTCTGTATGCTATTCTGGCTGCTCTGCCGCGCAGGCAGAGCTTGGCCAGTTTGTGAGCGTCTCTGGCTGGCTTGGATGCTTGCCAAGATGGCCTGCTGCTCTGCAAGCTCTGAATCGTCCAGAACAGGTGCCGCGGCTTTTGGTCGGGGAGGAGCAGGTGCAGGAGGTGCAGCAGCGGGCTCCTTGAGGTTTGCCTCTACATATAACTTTCCTCCATACTTGTCCTTATGCTCAAGACTCACCCAGCCTTTGAATCCATTAGCCATGCCAGAAAAAGGCAAGTGAGCTTCAGCGGCGCGCTTGTCGTCCCGGACGTTCCTTTGGTGAAAGAGAGTCAGATGCAGAAAGCTGTCCTTGTAGGCGCTCTTGTCAGCCTTCAGGGTGATAGTGCATCTGCTGGACTGGAAGTTCTTGGGCTGAACAACGAGCCCCTGTGTGTCGTACAGGTCATCTACCCAGCGGGTGCGCTGGGGAGCGTGGTCATCCAGTAAGAACTCCACACAATGCCGGCCGTCGTGCTTCAGGCCGACGGCCTGTTTTACAGTAATCTCAAGCTGCATCCCAAGCCATCCGCTCAAACACAGAGGTACCGATGGAATGGAGGCATGGCAAAAAGCCGCTTACGAAGCCGAGCAAACCACGACTAAAGCCGCTATGCTTTGACGAGCAGCTGCTAGTCTAAAACAGCATCTTGGTCGCATGAACTCCTCCACGTAGGGCGAAGATCGGAGACAGGTCGTTCTTGCGCTTAGCCAAACCGGCGAAGGTGAGGGTCTCTGCACGTTCACTACAGGAACGAAGCTAACACGCTCAGCAGTGCAGGACAGAACGAAGGTGCATCTTCCTTTCTCGGTGTATTGGAGGTTCTGCGTAGAAGTAGCAGAGATTCGCTGCTGCACGAGCTCTGCACTTTTTGTCGAAGCTAGGTGGCACCGATTGCGCACAACAGATCTTTTTAAACAGAAACGGAGTGGAAACAACGCTGCACCAGCATTACAATGACAGTTTCAATCCGGAGAGGGCACGACCGACGGTGGGCATTGTGCCTGCTCAATTCTTGCACGCGTTCCTTCTCCATTCCAGCTTTGAGATCTTCTATGTACAGGCACGGGGCTCGAAGCCCCGCCAAAGGATCTGAGGTATGGGGGGCCGTCCGTTTTGGAACACCACCCCATTAACACCGATGAGGTCATGTCAGCGCCTTTGACTCATTGCATCAAGGCACTTCCCGACATGATCTGCATGTCAAAAGAACCATCTCACTTCGCGGAGCCCGAAGTTTCTTTCTGCGGCGCCTGGTTCCAAAACCCAGTGTAGCAACACGGCTTCCCGTCTAGCATCAGCAGAGCCTGCGCGTCATCCCTTGTAGAGAAGGTATCAAGCCTGGTTGTCCACGTGCTCAAACACAGTGTATAAGTATCATTGTGTTGTACTTTATACAGTGTAGTGAGTGTAGTGTAGAGCTAGCCACAGGCAGCTGAAGAGCATATAGGTGCTGACGATTGCGGATGTGACTCTGCCTGTCTTCGTCCACGCCTGTCTTTTCTTTCACCGCTTAGGAGGACAGAGCCGTTTTCATTATCGCTTGTGCGGCTTCAGCTGGCAATTTTGCCCGGCAGGGGGCTCGGCTATACAGTAATTAGTAAGTATCAAGGAAGGCCAATTCCCCGTTCAGGAGTAAAGGACTCGCTTTTGGGCTCATTGACTGCAATGTCCCCCCCCCCCCGCGTCAAGTTGCAAGTTGCAAGCAGAACGTGGTCTAGTAACATCTAGCAAACAACAACATTCACATGACTGGACATGTCATGCGAGAGAACCAGAAGCTCCAGGAGGAGAACGCCGACCGCTCCCTCTACAGGGCGTCAGGCGGGGGGAGCTCGGGTCTCTTCCTTCTTCCACACCGGGTCTCTTCCTCTCCCTCTCTCTGCGTCAGTCTCTGCATGACAACGCCACACAGTATGACTGATCCATGACTGAGGCTGCAGCAGTTCCTGCACCTGAAGCATGAACCAGGTGGGTGATTGCAGCTCATCCGACCTTTTGCATCATGGCCGCCTCCTCAACAGCCCTTGTGGGGCTCTTCTTGCGCTTCATGAGATGCCTCGGCATGGGTTTCAGCAGGGCAAGCGAAAGTCCACAGGGCGACAAAATCAAATATTCGTGCCCAATGCTGCAAGGCAACCGCTGAATGTCCGCAGTAGTTAGCTTCTTGCCGGAGGCATCAAGCTTCTTCACGAAGAGCTCGGCTAGCTCCTCTCTGACTGCGCACGTGCAGGAAGAACAGTTTGTGCAAGGCAGGTCAACTTTCGCGGCGTTTCGTCCTACAACATCTGGACACCATACATGATTGGAAAGCCTTCTCGTCGTCTCTCCTCTTGGTCCCTCGCCAGGCTTTGCCCCTCACCGCGGATCGTCTTGAATCTAGGGTTTCCAACGCTGGCTCGATATTTCACGTGCTCCTGGTATTCGCTTAACTAACACTTCCCTTGTGCCGCGTTTGCTCTCGGCCTCCTTACATGACTGCTGCCTCCAGTCTAGCACGTGCTCTCCCCTAACAGAAAACAGCCTTTCGTGAAACCTACACACGACAGCGAATACAGCATGGAGCACTTGACCCCACTTGGCTGCTCTTTGCCTTCGTTGTCTCAACTCGCTCTTTTTCTCCTTCCAATGGCCCCCTGCCCTTGCCCTTCTGTCCTCAGTGGAAAGCTTCGTGAGTTTGGCATCGCCTGCAACCGCAAGTGACAGCTTGTGTCAGCATCCCTGCCCGGCAAGCTCTCATGCTCTCCGGCAAGCTTCGGCACCTTCATCGGGCATTACCTTGCCACCCTCCGACGACCTGAGGCTAGTCTCCATCCCGCAAGCGACTATGAGTCTATGAGAAGCATGCGGGTGAGCAGCAAGGCAGAGGTGGAACCTCCAAAGTCGGCATAGAACCTTGGCCGGTGCCCTGTAGGCCCGCGGTTCCAAGTGAAGTCACGTTCGGCTCAGATCTGCCAGGGCTCCGAGTGAAGAGACGTTGGATCTGGTCTGGCACTGCTGCCTTGAACTCCAGCTCCTGGAAGTGTGAACTAAGAACCATGAGCCTAGACAGCCGATGCATGGGCCGAAAGCATGGGTGCAACACAAAATGAAGATCGGATGCTAACCCTGTCTTGCCGAGTCGCGTAATCAATGCGGCCGCTCCGCAAGAGGGCGGGATCAAGAGCATCTTGCAGCGGCTGCGGGGTTCTGAGCTTTCACGACTCCTTGTAGATTCCAAGCCTCGATCATTCGTCGTCATGAAGAGAAGTCTTCCGGTAGTGGCCGTGGGACCATCCTGCAGGCTGCGAAGCGCAGGTGGAAGTGCTAGACTGCCAGACTGCACGCTGCAGCTCTACTTGTCGGGATGTCCAGCGCATTCAAGAGCCCGGAGAGGGTGAGGCGTCCTGAGGGCTGACTGCATCAAACAAGCTTAAATGATAGCTAAGCAAAGCCTGCCTCGACGGCTTTTCTCGTAGCTCTTATCTGAACTGTCTTTGTCCTGCAGGAACCCAAGCACGAAGCCCGTCTGCACTGAACTCCGCCGCATCCAAGCATATGAAACTGGCACAACAGAACCAGAAAAGCCAAAATGTCGCGGATGACTGTCAGTCCCTGTCGGCTGGGCTGGAATCGCCAGCAGTGTCTTGCAACTGTCGATGGCCTGCCCGTCTCGTCTCAACCATGCCTACTCACGTTTCGACTTGCGTTGACATTGCCAAGCAGCGATTGAGCACAGCTGAGTGCAGCAGGTCTACGTCCTCCATGGAAAATCTCAACACCATGCAAGGCAGGCCCACGCATGCCCGCAAGTAATGCTAAATTGCTCCCTACTTGCAAGTGACGAACAACGCGGCATTTCGTCAGCTTCCACCCACGTCCTCCAGTAGGAGGATGGTCGGTGGATCGTGCATGCCGTACTGCCTGGGCAAAGTTTAGCAACATCCCGAGACCGTGCCAGCGATCATCCTAAGCCAAGCAACCTCAGACGACACCACACAACAAGGAAATGTTGATCTCGCCTTCTCCAACTCTCCTCAAAGATGCAGCCCTTGATTGGATCTTCTTATGACTCCGAAATTCCCCTAAAAGATCCGGAGTGGCAGTAGTGAGCTCAGCACTTCGTCGTTCATCCGCTCGGAAGAGAAGCCTCAGGACGCTAGAAGTGAGGGGACTCGGGCACTGCACGCCCACACCTTCAGCGCTGCAATCCGCTCCACACTCTTACAGTTCGTCGAGCAGCAGTAGCAGCACGAGAGTTTGTATCATTGATGTGGCTACGCCCGTCTGTCTATCGCTGCGACTGGTCATAGCAGATTTCTGGAAGGTTGGACTAAACTTGCTTTTGACCGCTTTCGTAGGTCAGGACACTCATCATATAGATGGGCAGGCGCAGTTCAGAGGCGACAGCCATGATCAGGGAGCTTTTGCCTGGGACTGAGAACGCACTAAGGGAATAGCTTCAGGGAGGGGACCGACTGCTGGAAGCTGTGTTGAGTTTTGAATGACAGGAGAAGCATGGGCCGTCGACACATCGGCACTCAGTTCAGGCAAGTGCTGGAGAAGCTGCAGAACAGTAGGAGTGAACGGTGGAAACTTCTGCCAGAGCAAGCCACAGCTGTTCGAGGGCAATCTAGTTGTTTACTGTTTGGCTCTACACGCAATTGACCTTGTATGGTTCCCGGAGCGAAGCACCGTATCTGAAACTTGCCGAAATGCCCCCTAAAGAAAAGGACTGTCCCGGTCCGACTGAGAACGAGCTCTAGCCAGCTTTTCCAGAAACATGCCCCCTTCTCTCGCGCAGTCAAGGATCCTCCGCCTGGAACGCCGTAGAGCAGATAACCTCTTCGATAGGGTATGCCACGTTCTGTATACCAGGTTTCCGAGTTGAGAAACTCCCGGGCATCTTCCAGAAGGGCCTCCGATGGTCTGTCAATTCGTGGGCTTTTTGAGGTCCAAGATCTTTCGACTCCGCTCGTCCAGAGCCTCTGCTTGGTCGATGCCCGTGCTTCCAGCAACGCAGCGAGGCAACCTTATGCAAACGAGGCTCCGAACACTTTCTCTACGTTTGCTTCGAAACTTCGACAGCCTTCCGGCAGAAAGGCTGAAGGCACTAGCTGCTTCAATTCAGGGACGATGCCGCCCACCTACCTCCTCCAGAACTCAAGACACACATGGAAGCCAGCGCCACACCTTCAAAGCCGAGCAACACAACAGAAGAGATCGACCGACCGGGCTGCTTTCGGTCCTTGTCCTGTCTTCCGTAGTGTGTACTTTCACTCAACGAGACCAACAACACTGTGTGTTTTTGCAGCAGCATATTGCATTACCCACTGCGTCTCCTGCGGGTGCAGCCAGTTGAGGCCATGCTCCTTTCCGAAGTCGTAGACTTGCACAACCGTCAGAAATTTCCTTGGCAAAAAGCGAGCTATTGACGGCCGACCGACCGGGTTCGACTGCAGAAAAAAGCTCATCAACACCTTCCGACACGACATGTTTGCATACCCTGAATATCGTAATCATTACAAAACGGTTGTTCCGGACGCACTTCAAGTTTGGTGTCTCCCGCTTGCGCCGCTGAATCTCACGGCCTTCTTCCAGCATGTTCTCCAAGACCACCTCAGCTCATGTCACATGCCTCGGCATGCTGCTGAAACGGCGATCACCAGTAAGCTTGCCAAGCAGTGGCAGCAACAGTAGGAAGCACAGGAGCAGTAATCGCGTACCCTATGGTCCGAGCACTTTTCGGGAGATGAACGGCGCAGAGGAAACGTCTCCAAGTGGAAAGGGTCCAGGCTCTGTCTCATTTCGGATTGTCAATGGCCAGACTAACATTGGTGCGTTGGAGAGCCTTGAGGCCAAACCAACTGACAGACACCTGGTCATCATGCGCACAACCGCCTTGCTTCTGATGGTCGCTCGCGCATCGAAGTGCACAAAATTCTCGTCAACACCGATACTCAGTCGCAATATTCGTTTCAGGCACAGCTTCTCGGTCCCGAGCCTTGTCTCGACCAAGGATGGAGACGGTGGCGCGATTTCCGCCAGAGCCCTGGCGGCTCTCAGACTATTTGCAAGCGGGAGGGCGTATGCCAAGTCGGAGGGGCCATGTCAGTCTACTCAGAGGCTCTTTGGTTGGTACGTGTTATTACGTGTTGCCGTCTTCAGCCAGGCAGTCAGTACTTAGCGGAACTGCACCTCGCGGCTCTCGCGTGTGATCCACCTCATCACAGCCCAAGTCTTGCTTACCGCGGGAATCAACTGACATTGATGGATTTCGGCTCCTCCTGCTTCCTGGCTTTGGGCTCATCTTGGCTCGAGAAGTCCCTGCACGGCAACTCGACCAATTCAGCATCCGAGGCACACCCACTGACTGGATCCATCTGGTCTTTGGCACCTTGGTTTGGAAGTTCTGATCCTTGTCGAAGATGCTTGTGCATCGCCCAGTTAAGGTCCGTGCCGCAGCCGGGATGTTACCTTTATTTCCGGCTCGTACTCATAGCCTCAGAAAAGAAAACAATGCCACGCAGAGGAGGCAAAACAGCAGCTTGACATCACCATTGGAAGAGCCTGTATGCATTGTAAAGAGCGCCCGCGTCAGTTCCTCCGGTAAAGACCAAGCTGCGGGTGGCTTTGCCTTCCGAGCGCTGGCCGTAGAGCCACAGCTCCGAGGCATCGTGGATGGCCGGCTGCTCTCGCAGCCAGGCAAGGACAAGGTCAGCCTCCTTTCGTCTGCAGTGGATTCTGAGCTGTCTGAGTATACTGGGGCTGGGAAGATGGACATCTCAACCGTGAGGTTCTGTGGAATGCATCAGAAGCTGATATGGTAAAAACACAACACACTTGCCTGGCCTTCTCATTCAGTCGCACTGTCATCCAGAGTCGGCGGACTGCCCAATCACCTGCTTCTTGACTTCTTGAGCACAGGCATACAGTAGCTTCAAGACTGTAAATCGTTGGCCAGCACAGCACTGTTAGGCACCTCAGCAAGAGCACAACACCGTGAAGCACAAAAGACCTGGGGAAAATGCTGGTGCAACAGCATGGTGGTAGCTGCTCCTTCAAGACTCTGCCTGACAAGTCACCACTTTGCCTACCCACTCCAATGTGCGACTTGCACCAGGCAGCGAGCACCCTGTGACATTTACTGAAGGTAAAACTACCACTATCACCGCAACCACCAGATCCAATGGGGTGTCTTGTCTACAGAAGTTGCACGAGCACTGCATGAATTAGTGAGCTGCACCGCAGCACCTGCCTGGGCCAGCAGTGCAGGCTGGCAGAGTGTGTCCCAAACCCAAACCTCCGTCCCTCCAGTTTGCGTGCCAAGCAGCAAAACGATTGAAACATTTTCGAGGAAGCATCTCGTGCAATTCCCACTGCCTGACGCAAGCCACAAGCACTCGTAGCAGGTATGGCACGCCAAAACGAAGCCACAACAAAGATTCATCGGAGACAGGCTAGCGCAGGCTGTCTTGACCGCAAGCAGGCTGCGGAGATAGCAACGGTCCCAGCGATGTGGTCGCTGGCATTCAAGAACTTCATGACAGTTCGCACCTTGTTTGCAACTTCTGACCAAGTCATTCGGGGTTGCTTACCCGGAGGGCATCCGTCCCCATGACATCAGCTAGACATTGACACGGGTCGCTACATGAACACGAAGGTACACAAAACAGAAACGAGAAGAATGACACAGAGGATGCAACACCTTGCATCCACCAACCACCTGTAAGCTGTAACTGTTTTCGAACACCTGCAGTCAGGATAACTTTCGAAGGGACTATCCGAGACCCACTCGCACATCCTTGAAACTGTGATACAGTCGTGGGACCGATCTCTGGTGCCTCTCTGAGGCCTGTGCCCATTGTCTCAGCAGCAAAAAGAGGTAGAGCTGCATGGCTCACGGCCCACGGCTGAAACACTTCTCAACGCTGCCGCTTCTAGTCAGATTCTAGAAAGTCTGGACTGCTAGGCCGGTTTAGGGTCGTGTTGTGGACCCGGGTGCTCCACATGCGGAGGGATCGAGTTTCCCGCTCAGCTACGCTGACTCTGCGACATCGTTCCGACATCCAGAAAGACTGACAGGTCTTCTGCTAGGCTGTAGGTTTAGTCGTCTAGTGACTAGTCTAGTGAACGACACCAGTCAGCTTTACCCCGATCTACTGAGCATCCTGGCTACTGTTTCTGGCAAGCTTGAAACCATCGGCAAGGTACGGCAACAGCTGCAGTTTGCACACCGTGTCAACTGCCTTAAAGCTTTGCGCAAATGTCAAAACAATTCAACAGTTCATGCTTCCCCCCGTGCTGTGCCTTCAACTCACGCGTCAAGAGGTTGGTAAACTGTGCGTTGTGTATCTCGGCCTGCAGTAGCATCAGGCTACAGCGGCTTTCGATTGTGGCAATGTCGGGAGCACGAGGTCCTCCCGACTCCCCACCCCTTTGAACAAACTCGTTATCACTTAAGCTCAATTGCATGGGCCCAACCTACTGACCTAGCATGCTCTGATGTTTGTTACTGTTCTCTATCAGTCGACAGCGACAGTCTGTCCCTGCCCAAATCGCGAGCCGCGGGAGATGCCCCTCGAGGCCTCGAGGTTTCTGCAATGGCCTCCTGCCTCACGACTCAACGCGACTGTCCGCCCGCTTGTGCCCCTCCGACATCGAAGGCGCAAGACGCAAGTCGACCCACGTGATTCGTCCCAATCGTCCGCCGGAAAAAACCATGGCGATGCTAGCACCCACATTCGGCCCGGCGCAGGCTTTGCTTAGCTCGGGCGCATAGGGAAACCGTCGCCATGTAGCCCTGATGCCTTTGACAGGACCGGCGCCCCGGCGCCACCTTGCGTTCACCGCCCACTGCACCGCCTTGATGCGCCACGTGCGCCGTCTGACGACTCCCACTGGCGCTCGGGACGTTTGAGGCGTAGGCGGTCTCAGAGAAACCCGTCAATAGAATAAGCGAGCATAGCAGCGTAGCACACTGCTCTCTAATCTATCTTCATGGTGCCCTTGTCATCCCTTATCCTCGAAGTCCCATCAGGCCATACGCTGCCTTGGCCACTGAACTCGCAAGCATGGCCAGATGTGCGGAGGTGAGATATACCTGGCTTCCACTTCCGGTGATCATTTGTGGGTTTTGGGCTGAGGGATTTATAGGAGTTTCCTGCAGACCTGGGGATCAAAGCGTCCAGGCCCTGAAGCGGTCCAAACTCTTTCGCTCGGAAAACACAGATGCCGGAGGGACCAAGTTTGCACAAATGCGCGGAAGCAATGCCTGAACCTTTGGAGCCAGGGTCACAACTTCCAGGCGTTACAAGGCGAGTCGCCAGGGCGCCAGGACAAACGCTCCGCAAGTCGGGCCCCCTGCCAGCTGCTTATCCAGGCGCCTTTCGCTGGACAGCATCTCTCTGCACTTCCGGCTGCAGCGTAGAAGGCCTGGATCTCGCCATGCCGTTCAGGATCAGGGACACATCATGCATTGCCAACGAGTCCGACAGTTCCTGCAGCCGGTCAGCTGGTCGCCAAGTGCCACGCGAACCTTTTCGCAAGATTGACGCCCCCTCAAACCTGTAAAAGCCAGTCCTTCGTTCGCTTCGTCAGCGCCGCCCACCAGGCCTCGTCGTCGAGGCCCTCTCCTCGGCAAGGATTGCTTGGGTCCCCGCCCTCGCAGGCACAGGTTCTGTGCTTCTCGACACAACCCGTGGCCCGGGCTTGCTGCCGCTGTGGCGGCACGTCCAAGTCCTGCCCCACAGAATATCAGAGATGCTAAAGGTAGTGGTGACGCATGCGAGATCATGTGTCAAGTTTCATCTCACATGGGAAGGGTCTGCCAGGCGAGGCTGTCAATGTGCTGTGCAATTAAATCTCTTTTGCCAGAGCATCAGTGCAAACATGACCGAGAGGCACGCAACTGCTCAACTGCCAAGCGAAACAACTGGAGACTGAGAGACGCTGAGAGATTTTGAGCGAAGTCAAGCCCTAAACATCCCTAAACTATAGCGGTGTGGCCGGAACGGCCTTGCGGGGAAAGCCTCGACTCGACTCGAGCCGATGTACACTCCACAAGCCTTACCAAGCAAAGCCTAAAGTCTACCTCCATTGGCCAAGTTAATGCATCCGAGGAGCAAGTGCCAGAAACTATATTGTAATATAATGTTAGTTATATATATATATAGATATCAGCTCCTTCGCCATCTAATTCTGCTGGATCTCTCAGCAAGGCCAAAGCTCCCAGCAGCCTCGCAGGACAAAAGCTTCGGGGAAGAGTGAATGTATATCAGGCGATATAGTTATCTACCTGCAAACCCAACAATCTATGTGTCCATCTACTCTATCTATCTATCTATCTATCTATGACAAGGTAGTATTCCCATAGTAGGGGGCGGTCGTCTTCAACAGTTCATGCTAGTGTGGAAGCGGGCTCTGGAAGTTCGGCTCCAGGCCTGTTGGGAAGCGCCCCGGTGTTGCGCGGCCTGCGAATGGAACAGCAACGGCTTAGGGTTCCGGGTTTTTAGGGTAGCTACTAAGCTACTGCTTGGCTTAGTACTTGTAGTGCTTACAAAGGTAGAAAACATCACAAACTTGGATTTTACAATCGCTGTCACTGGGCCAAGTCAACTGGGACTTCACCAGCCAATGATTAAGGCGTGCGGTCATCAGCTGACGTTGCTTTCCTGAACCGACACCCAGCCCGCCCACATGAGAGCATTTGCAGAATTACTTCTGCTGTCAGCTGGTTTCGCAGCTGCAGGCCTTCGTGGTCGGGGAGGCCTGACTTGCAACTCGAATCCTAGAAACTGCGGACCGCTGTGCAAAGGAGGCAGAGCTACGAAGAGATCTTGAAACTCAGTACACCGAATCCAAGCGTGTTGACCTGTTGCGTGACACGTCGAACTCCCATGACTGGGGCAGGGGCTGCAGAACTTCTGCTGCCCAATTCCGACCAAAGGGAGCATCCTGCGATACACTTGCTTGTCAATACAGTCTCTGCCGGTTTGGGTCACCTCAGCGCTACGGACATCACCGCTCCGCGCCTCTACGCTCTGGCCCTGAGAATAGCCTGGGCGGGTGGCTGTGAAACCGAGAGCACGCTTGCCTGGGCAGGGGGCCTGCAGAGCGCGAACAGCATGGCCACACCTCAGGCAAGGTACAACTATCGGCTGCCAAACTCCCTCAAACCGCAGAAGCACCAATGCTAACGAAACAAGAACCCACAAGAGCGTTCCTTTCGGTCGCTGTGGTCTGGGTATCCACCGCTGAAGCAAAGGCAGCGTGCAGCTACGGGAAAAGCCAAGACTGACGCGCCCGAGCTTCTGAACAGCTGCCACAAGCCAGGTGCAGTTTTCAAGCATGCCCTCATACCCACAAGGTCACGTGCTCACGGCTCGTGCTCAAAAGCTCCGCAACTATGTAAAGGGGATTGCACTCGGCTGCTGCACTGCAGCTCAGGCAAATCCAGAATATTTCAGAAAGCGTCGCGGGACGCCGCTTGCGGCCACAAGCACCAGCGCGGTGCTGCATCGCCGCTACAGTAAGACGGGAGCTCGGAAGCACCGCAAGATGCACATCTGGTTGTGCATGCGGGGTCTCCGGTTCAGCAGAAGAGGTGTAAGACTGAGCAGACCGACCTGGATGATACTCAGGCTGGTTCTGCAGTGGCGAACTACTTGGCTCCAGCCATGGACTGGAGCTCAGCGCACGATTTTGAGATTGCCGGGCTCATCCCCATCTTGTGCACGTAGTCCTCACCATTCTCTTTCGTTTTTGCAATTTGAGAAGGGGGGGGCCTTGGGACTGGGGCCTATAGCGGCTCCTGGGCTTGCCTCTTTTCTTAATTTCAGTGGCAACCCTAAAACCGACTGGGAGCAGTAATGAGCAGAGGTCTCCTCCCTTGGCCTCCAGATGCTTAGCAGTGTTGCAAGGAGTGCCAGTGGCAAGATAAGGCCGGGGCATCTCAACCCTTTCCAGAACCTTTTCGGAGAGGGGTGGCCTTCTGCCTGAAAGATCGGCCCACAAAGGAGCACCAATGCCCTCGCTAGATGCCTTCAGCTCTCGATTTATCAGACCGAAAGGCCCTAGAATGTCTTGCTAGACCTTCTTTCTTACCGACAACTCCCGCAAGCTGCCGAAGAGCTAGCTTTCGTGACAAGTCGCAGGCAAAAGCATGCAGTACAACCCTGGCTCCTCTGTGAAGCCGATGTGCGATCGTTCAAAAGTCATCCTGAGCGAGAGGCATGGTTTGTACTCCAGATATGGACGCAGACATGCAGACAGACCTCCTTGCGCTTGTGATAGGCCCGATAGGCAAGGCTCACTCCTGGTCTCACCTGTAGATACGGCAGGTCCTCATTCTTCACACCACCTAGGTCAGTGGGCTTCGGCCCAAAAATGCTAATGTTTGCCACTGGCAGCTTCAATTCACGTCCGTCGTGTGCTACTTGTAACAATCCAAGGCACGATAGTATGCAAGAAGAACCCGGCACACTGCCTGGTTTGGTGTCAATCACGGAGGTGCAAATGCCAGGATGTTAGAGAAGACACAGGACCCGCCTTGTCGCAAACGATGAGAACATTGCCAATAATCTGCTCCAGCCGCAAGACCAGGAAAGAAAGTCGGAAGAGCACATCCTCCCAGCAGCGGCTTCTGGAAGATTTAATCCAGGGAATCCGGAAAAGGCGCAGCGAATGATCCTTGCAATGCTGCTATAAGTGCACGCCCGACCTGGTAACTCTCGCCACCGACACCCGGATAGCGGTAGTTGAGCTTGTCTCGCTGCCGGGCTGAGAATTCCTGCAGAACCCAGGAAAGCGCCGCGGTGGGGGCCGCGTGGGTTCACCCGTGAATCAAACGGGCCTCTGGATAGAACTCTTTGAACTCCTCATAGGAGAGGCTGTCCAGATCACCAGCACAAAGCTCGTTGAGCCGCTGCAGCTTCAAGACCTAAGCAGCAAGAAAGCCAGAAAGAAAACCCTCGGCTTCGACTCGCCTTCCAGAATTCTTGAGGCATCCACTTTCCGCGGCTTTTGCCCAGAATTGGGCCGTATTGCCTTGCAGTCTCTATGTTTTGATCGCTCCGAACCTGAGATGGCAGCCAAGCGCGGCCTTGAGAGCTTCGACGGTTTGCAGGTGTCTGGTCAGCGTGCCACACATTACCTGGGTGGCTTGCGAAACACGGAGGAAGCCAGTAGAGGCTTCAAGCTCGACGCCAGCAACCTTAATATTATGGCTGCCTGGGCCTAGGCTTTTCCTTTTATTTGCAAATAGTCCAAGGTCCAGTGTTCTTTGTCCGAAGGGCAAGCATGGGCTTGCCCGCAGCCTCCTCTCGCTCGGCAACGAATCCTTATCTCGGCAGCTACACAGCCACCATGATGCTGACCTATCCGGGAAAACTCGTTGCCTGCATGAGCCTCAAAAACAGTGTCTATTCTACATATGCGGCGTGGCGCAACAGAAGCCTACCAAAGCCTCAAGCTGAAGTCGAGCATCTGGCGAGGGCTGCAGCATGCTGTTTCCCTGCCACAGGTAGATAATGGAATCAGTACCTACGCTAGTTGTACCTGTCGGGGTCCTACTACGACCTCCATTACTGCACCGCTGCCGACTGCACATGCCGTCACTGCGGCCGTGGATGCCATGATCTCTTACATGCCTTTATACATCTTGTTGCCAGAAGCGAAGGGGATGCAACTCTCCCGCCTGCTTGTGTCAGAGCTGAGTCACCACCGAGGACGCCCTTCCTGCCGAAAAGCTTTTGGAAGGTCGGCCAGTAGAGCCGTGTGTCAGCTCCGAATGCTTGGTTTGGCGTGCTCCGCTGAAGTTCGGATCTGGAATTCGCAAATTCGATCCCTGAAGCTGCAGCTAAAGTTTGCATTATCCGGTAGTCTTCGACACTATCCTGCGAACAACTGGCATGACGAAACAGCTGCGGCTGCTGCATGCAGCTGGCATCGACTCGAACGTTTCAGAATGCTACTGTTGGTGTCTGTAGCTGGATCGGCTGGATCGGATCCCAAGCCCTTCGCTTTGGGCTTTGGGAAGCCTGCTCTCGGCTGGCGCCATGATTTCAAGTTCAGAACCGCGACCCGAGCCCCACCCGAGGCACGAGCCTGTCGTGCTCTGTTTCCCCGACCACGGCCAGCATGATGCAGCGCTTCCCGAGGTTGATGCTGGACATAAGGCCCACAATGTACCTGTCTGCGTGGAGCTATGTAGAGCTCATTTGCGTGGCGAGTTGCCCTCGCCTCATCACGCCGTACTCATCATCTTTGGAGCGGCAGTGATTACAGATCAATTTTTCCTGAAGCTCCACGGATGCAATGTCATGTATTGTAGCCAGTCAAACTCTCAGCACGACTATAACATTGACTGTTACTCAGAAAGACTAGTGGCCCCAGCATTAATAAGCTTGATGTAGCCACATCTGTCCTTGGTGCACGTAACAGAGTGCTGCTCGGCGCTCATTGCTTCGACGGAACACAATACATCGATGGATGCGCCGGGAATCGGAGCACTCTCCGTCTTCGACAGGCTCATAGACCTGGGCATACTGCTCCACGCGCTCCAAGAAGTCCTGGAGAGCCTTCTCGGCCTTCATTCCGACGTAGTCCTCGTTACCCAATTTCAGATCGTAGTTGTGTGACAGGATGGCCCCATCGTCGCAGATGGACTCCAAAAAAATGAGCCGGATGCCTGTGTGGGCCAGGACACGTTCCTTGACCTTCCTCCGCCTCTCCAGCGTGGTGTTCGTAGCGTCCAGGATGCCAACGGCGGTGGCCTGACCCTCCTTCTCCAGAAAGGCCAGAAGCTGATCCAGGCATTCCATCGCCAGCTCGTCCCGAAGCTTCTTTGCGTTCTCGTTGGAACTGTCAAAGAAGTTGGCATCCACGCCGCTCTTGCCCGCCGAGCGCCTTAAGTTCCCCGCGTTGAAGAGCTGCGTAGGGCACCCCACGAAATTGAGGTAACGGACAATGGCCTTCGAGATGTAGGACTTACCTCTCGCAGGCAGCCCGACCATCGCCAGAACGACCTTCTGCTCCAATACCTCTACCCAGGCTCCGGTAAACGAAATACTGCCCCGGACCCGATCTGCCCGGGGAGGACAATATTCATGCCCACAAAATCATGAAGGTGGTTACACCGCTACAGACCTTGCCTTGTTCTCATTCATGGAGAACTTGCCGGATATTCGGCGCTTAAACCTTGGCTCTGCATCACCCCCTATCGGCCCTGGTCAGCCCTGAGCACAAAACACAACCCTAAACCCTAAACAAACCCTGAGGTAAGCGGAGTCACTCTCGCGGGTGTCGCGGAGAGTCAGGCTGCGGCGACACGGGCTCGTGGGTCACATCCAGTTGCTGCGCCTAGCGACATAACATATACTGTAATACACAATAATATACACTATAATATACTATAGTATTATACTATAGTATACTTATGCATATATATATATATATGCTCATATATATATATATATGTATATGTAAAGTAACAGCCACGGAATTTCTCAAGCTAGGGCTAAGAAGACCAAACAAGGGCTAACACTTGCTCAAAGGAACTCCTGCCCTCCGTTCCTTCCCTACTTCTCAGTCCGGTCACCCTGAAAGGATGGAGCAAGGCATCAGGCCGCAACTTCTCCGATGCAGCCGTCAGCTGACGAGTAGGAGAACGGCCTTCCAGGACAGGCTGGGGCGCACCATTCGTGAATCTGTGCGAATGTAAAACATAAATAGACATACATGTCCTGTATATATATACACACATATGTATATAGATATATATTCGCACAGATTCACGAAGCTTAGA